TGATCCTCCTCACATGTAATAACCAAATAAATTCGATCTCAATGTTTTCGAAATGAAAAAACAAAGTAGAATCATCGTGAACTATATATATCTTTAGAATTTTAATGTAGACTGTTGTTAGCTAAAATAAAAATGTAGTATTTCCATGCTCGGAATAGAACAGAAGCCAAACTTGTGTTTAGGAAATTTTTGAAATATGGTAATCTTAATTAGTTAGAACTTAGAAGTTAATACCTCGATTAACAAGAAAAAAAGAAAAAGACAAGCAAAAATCGGCGGGGAGAGTTTGGATCTTGTAGAAGGATGGTGTGGGAATCGGCGTTTATGCTGCAAATGGTAAGATATTAATATGGTCCTTTATAGTTAGCGTTATGATAAATTGGTCTTTAATTATACAAGATTAAGAAACTAGTTTATCCCATTAAATAAATTATAAAATTCTCACCATCCAACAACAACCTTACTCCTCCGCCCAAATGTTTTCTTTTCATGTAGTGTCTCTCTATAGGAACATCGGAAAGTACCCTTATTATAAAGAAAAGTAAAGAATCAACACGTCGACATATCCAAAGCATATAAGATAGTACATTAAAATTAAAATTATATGGGAGAGCACAGAGCAGAGAGCATGTAATAATAATAAAAAGTGTGTAGAATAAAACGAAGGCTTGACGATAGAGAATGGAATCAGATTTCCCCATTATCTCCTCCCCCATCTTCATATACTTACTATTTATTCCTTCCCCTTTATGCCCTCCCACCTCTATACTTCATTAACCATCCCATTCTTACTTTACTCTAGTACTAATCACAATGCTTTGGCCTCTTTACATTTATTTACCTTTATTTCTAGTTTGTCACACAAATATGAACCTCTTATTTAGAAACACATTTTATCTAAAAATATCTATTGAAAAAGATTAGTGTAGTAGTGATCGTATTTTTGTTTTTTTAGTACTAATTTTAATGAAGTTGAATTAGTACTAAAAAATAAAAATACGATTAAAGAAGGAATAGATTCAAATAAATAAAGCAAAGAAGACCTCGAACCAAAAAAAGAAAGGAAAAATAATTTTCTGTATTATCTCTCTCTCTCTTCCGCGATTACCGTAATCTCTGTCACACAAAGAACCAAAACACTCTCTCTTTCTCTTCCCTCTTCCTCTGAGAGACATTCTCGAGATATGAGAACAACACTCCTGCGATGAACACGACGCCGTTTCACTCTGATCCTCCTCCTCCTCCTTCCAGGATCCAGCGTAGGCTCGTCGTCGAGGTTGTCGAAGCTCGCAATATCCTCCCTAAAGATGGCCAAGGCAGCTCTAGCGCCTACGTCGTTGTCGATTTCGATGCTCAGAAGAAACGTACCTCCACCAAGTTCCGCGACCTTAACCCTGTCTGGAACGAGATGCTCGATTTCTCCGTCTCCGATCCCAAAAACATGGACTACGACGAGCTCGATGTCGAGGTTTACAACGACAAGCGATTCGGCAACGGAGGTGGCCGCAAAAATCATTTTCTCGGTAGGGTTAAGATCTACGGAAGCCAGTTCTCTAGGAGAGGCGAGGAAGGTCTTGTGTATTTCCCCTTGGAGAAGAAGAGTGTTTTCAGCTGGATTCGCGGCGAGATTGGACTCAAAATCTACTATTACGACGAAGCCGCCGCCGACGATATGGCCGTTGGAGGCGGAGACCAGCAACAACAACAACAACAGCACTTTCATCAGCAGCAACAAGATGATGCTGATGAACAACATCAACGCCATCATCATCAACAACAACAGCAACAGTTTCATCCTCCGCCGCAGCAGATGATGAATTTACCACCGGAGAAACCTAATGTAGTTGTCGTTGAAGAAGGTAGGGTTTTCGAATCGGCTCAGAGTCATAGCTATCCGGAGACTCATCAGCAACCTCCGGTGGTTATCGTTGAAGAGTCACAACCTCAGCAGGTAATGCAAGGTCCAAATGATAACCACCCTCAACGGCCGCCGTCTCCGCCGCCACCTCCATCGGCGGGGGATGTACATTATTATCCTCCCGAAGTGAGGAAGATGCAGGTAGGCAGACCTCCCGGCGGCGATAGAATTAGGGTTACGAAGAGGCCACAGAATGGGGATTACTCGCCTAGGGTTATCAACAGCAAAATTGGAGGAGGAGAGACGACGATGGAGAAGAAGACTCACCATCCTTACAATCTCGTTGAGCCAATGCAGTATCTCTTCGTTCGGATTGTGAAGGCGCGTGGCTTACCGCCTAACGAGAGCGCGTATGTTAAGGTACGGACGTCCAACCATTTCGTCAGGTCTAAACCGGCCGTTAACCGGCCCGGCGAATCGGTTGATTCTCCGGAGTGGAATCAGGTTTTTGCTCTTGGTCATAACCGGTCCGACTCTGCTGTAACCGGTGCGACTCTTGAGATCTCTGCTTGGGATGCTTCGTCGGAGAGTTTCCTCGGTGGAGTGTGTTTTGATTTATCTGAGGTTCCTGTTCGTGACCCGCCGGATAGTCCGCTTGCTCCTCAGTGGTATCGGCTTGAAGGCTCCGCTGCGGATCAGAACTCTGGGAGAGTTTCCGGTGATATTCAGCTCTCTGTTTGGATTGGTACTCAGGTAGATGAAGCTTTTCCGGAGGCGTGGAGCTCCGACGCTCCGCATGTAGCTCACACGCGTTCGAAGGTGTATCAATCACCGAAGCTTTGGTACTTGAGAGTGACGGTTCTTGAGGCACAGGATTTACACATTGCCCCCAACCTTCCGCCATTGACTGCGCCTGAGGTCCGTGTGAAAGCTCAATTAGGCTTTCAGTCTGCGCGTACAAGACGAGGCTCAATGAATAACCACAGTGGTTCCTTTCATTGGCATGAGGATATGATCTTCGTAGCCGGAGAGCCATTGGAAGATTGCTTGGTTCTGATGGTAGAAGACAGGACGACTAAAGAAGCAACTATGTTAGGACACGCCATGATCCCAGTGAGCTCCATCGAGCAGCGTATTGATGAGCGTTTTGTGCCGTCAAAATGGCACACTTTGGAAGTAGAAGGTGGAGGAGGTGGAGGAGGACCAGGAGGTGGACCTTATTGTGGAAGGATTAGCCTAAGACTTTGTCTAGAAGGTGGGTATCACGTGCTTGAAGAGGCAGCGCATGTGTGCAGCGATTTCCGCCCGACAGCTAAGCAGCTCTGGAAACCGCCAATTGGAATACTTGAGTTGGGTATTCTTGGAGCTCGTGGGTTGTTGCCGATGAAAGCTAAAAATGGAGGGAAAGGTTCCACTGATGCTTATTGTGTTGCTAAGTATGGCAAGAAATGGGTCCGAACTCGAACCATAACAGACAGTTTCGACCCGAGATGGCACGAGCAGTACACATGGCAGGTTTATGATCCTTGCACCGTGCTAACAGTTGGTGTCTTCGACAATTGGAGAATGTTCTCTGACGTCTCTGATGACAGACCCGATACACGGATTGGGAAAATACGGATCCGGGTCTCGACGTTAGAGAGCAACAAAGTGTACACCAATTCATATCCTTTATTGGTCTTGTTACCTAGCGGTCTGAAGAAAATGGGTGAGATCGAAGTGGCAGTCCGGTTCGCATGCCCGTCGTTGCTTCCTGATGTTTGTGCAGCTTATGGACAGCCGCTTCTGCCTCGGATGCACTACATAAGGCCTCTAGGTGTAGCACAACAGGATGCATTAAGAGGAGCAGCCACGAAAATGGTAGCAGCTTGGCTGGCTCGAGCAGAACCACCATTGGGACCTGAGGTGGTGCGGTATATGTTGGATGCAGATTCGCATGCGTGGAGCATGAGAAAGAGCAAAGCAAATTGGTATAGAATTGTTGGTGTTTTAGCTTGGGCAGTGGGTTTAGCTAAATGGTTGGATAATATACGGCGGTGGAGGAATCCTGTGACAACGGTGCTAGTCCATATTCTATATCTGGTTCTTGTTTGGTATCCTGATTTGGTAGTTCCGACTGCATTCTTGTACGTGGTGATGATTGGCGTTTGGTATTACCGGTTTAGACCCAAGATTCCGGCTGGTATGGATATCCGCTTATCACAAGCCGAAACTGTTGATCCTGATGAGCTAGATGAAGAATTCGATACCATACCAAGCTCAAGGCGACCAGAAGTAATCCGAGCTAGGTACGACCGGTTAAGGATCTTAGCGGTAAGGGTTCAGACCATTCTAGGCGATTTTGCAGCGCAAGGCGAACGGATTCAGGCGCTGGTTAGCTGGAGAGATCCAAGAGCGACCAAACTCTTCATAGCAATATGTTTGGTGATCACAATAGTTCTTTATGCGGTTCCAGCGAAAATGGTGGCAGTGGCTCTAGGGTTTTATTATCTTCGGCATCCGATGTTCAGAGACACAATGCCAACGGCGAGTCTCAATTTTTTCCGGCGGTTGCCAAGCTTGTCAGATCGGCTCATATAAGGAGGAGAAAGAAGTGAAGAGAGTAAATTTACTACTAAAAGTTAGGTGTTTTTGAGTATCTAGCAGTTTCTTATGATACATGAGCTGAGGAGGAGATAGAATAAAGATTCATTATGCGTTAAGATTTTTATCATATTATCATATGATTCGTTACACTCCATTTTATTATTCGTATATGCTGTCGAAATTCATAATCAGATGGTATGTGTTTGAGAATTGAGACCTGACCTTGACTGTAATATTTTGAAGCAAGTGAGAGATTTCGGAATAAAGTGGTATAAAAAGAAGTCACACTGACACGTTTGACCACTGATTTGCTTATATAGTTAAAAGTTAACTCTCTCTGTAATTTATACGTTTTTAATTCGTCAATGTTATTTTAACAATTATTTACGACATACACTACTTTTACAAATATTTTGGTTTAACTTTTCGTCTTTTACTATCTATGCAAGTGAAAAACCGGAGATAAAGCGCTAACGAATATGATTGGTTGAAATTACAAAGACATCATCTGACGTGGCAGTTTCTCTGTCTCCCAGTGTTCCAGATAGTGTGCGAACGGCGAAACAAACAACACACGAAAAGAAAAATCTCGAAAGAAACTTTTTTCATCGCTTCGATTTGATCTTTACTCCAATGGCTGTCGTCGGCGCTCCTATATCGTCTCCGGCGGCTCATCTCCAAACACGTTTTCTCTCTAATCCCGTTATTCCCCGCTTTCGCCGGTCTTTCTCCGCCGGTAAATCACCAGCTTCTTTCTCTGTCGTGTCCATGGCTCCTCAGAAAAAGGTAACGCTATACTTTGTTTTAATTTCTGAGACCTTTCTTCGCCCTTCATGAATCACTATTAAAGCTTCATAAAGTATGAATCTTTTAGGTTCTCAACACATAACTAGAGAGTACTCTTTATAAACATGAATAAGCAGAACTTGTTCTTTGGTTTTAGTTAGTTAATATTTCAGTGTTTTTACATTAGTTTTACGGCAATTGATCTATAGAGATATTAGGTCCAAATTTCGACAATTGATTAATGAAACAAAGACATGGCATCTTTTTAAATCTCTGTATAGTATTCTTGTAGAGTTTTATATGATTTGTGTAACTGTGATCACTGAATTGGATTAAAAATAGGTGAACAAATATGATGCCAAATGGAAGAAACAATGGTACGGAGCTGGATTGTTCTTCGAAGGTAGTGAGCAAGTAAACGTAGACGTTTTCAAGAAGCTGGAGAAGCGAAAAGTTCTGAGCAACGTTGAGAAATCTGGCCTGCTCTCAAAAGCAGAGGAGTTGGGACTTACATTGTCATCACTTGAGAAGCTTAAAGTCTTCTCCAAAGCAGAGGAGCTTGGTCTTCTCAGTCTCCTCGAAAATTTAGCCGGAACATCGCCTGCGGTCTTAGCCTCGGCTGCATTACCTGCTTTGACGGCTGCAATTGTAGCCATTGTGGTGATCCCGGATGACTCAACAACTCTGGTGGTAGCTCAGACGGTTTTGGCTGGTGCTCTTGCGCTTACAGGCGTTGTTTTGTTGGTTGGATCTGTTGTTTTGGATGGACTTCAAGAAGCTGACTGATTCTTTCTTTGTAAACCAAACACACAAAAAAAAACTTTTGCCTGTTGACTTTGTCAGTTGCTGAAAATCATAACTGTAATGTTCAGAACAAGCCATAAGTTGAGTGAAATATAAAAAAAAACTTAAGTAAGAAAGAAAGCTTTATAACAATTAAACAAACATTACATACAAATACATTCATTCTCCAGTGAAAAAGCCTAACTACTCCCACAAATTACAAATTTCCAATTTCCCCAAAACCATAGAAAAATAATGTGTAGAAGCAAAGTGAAGTAAGCCAAAAATCACATCTGAAAAAAGCCCCAAAAAAAACCTTCTTGAACGTGTAAAAAAGCAGCCATCAGATTGCTTCTGTTTGGTTGATAGACAAGTTTAAAGATCAAACTGCAATAGTTTGTCCAGTGAGTGCGTCGTGTAGATGCATTGAACCGTCTTTCATCAAGTTTAAGCTTAAGCTTTTAAACCTCTCTCTTGAGTATTGTCTTGATGCCTTCCTCCAATCAGTTCCAGCTTTCATCATCACCACAAACTCATCGTAGTTTATTCGTCCATCCTGCAAAATCAAACATTATGATTACCCCAAGTAATAATCTTTCTATAAGAAGAGACTTTAGGGAAAATAAAGTTTTAGAAAAACCTTGTCAGTGTCAACTTCACGCATGATATCGATTATAACGCTGTTGTCCGGTTCACCTAACTCGTCGGTCAAAGCTTCTCGTAGTTCTTCTGATTCGATGTATCCACTTCCATCTTTGTCAAAGAACATAAAAGCTTGTCTGAAATGTTCATCATTCTCCATCTTCTGCAAGTGAATTATCACTGCTACAAACTCTCCATAGTCCAGGCATCCATTTCCGTTTACATCGGCCTGCATCAAACATCATAAATGTTAGTACCAGAAAGGATGAACATTTCCTAATCTTTTGATCAAGAAAAGTATACTGATGAGAGAAGGGTATTTGGTCAATGTTTACCACTTCCATCAACAATTTGATCTCTGCTTCACCCAGTTGTGAACCAACTTTCTTGAGTCCAGCTCTGAGTTCTAGGTATGATATTTTACCGTCGTTGTCATCATCCATCAATGTAAACATGTTTCTGATCACTTCAACTTCTTGAATAGACAAGTGCTCGGCGATTACCTGAAAGAATAAAAAGAGAGAAACTCAGTGAAACCAATCAAAGCTCCAAACATAAGTACAATCTCCTCTGAAAAAAAGATAAGAGGCATGGCAACACTTACACGCAGAGCTTTCTTTTTCAATCTATTCATCATGGAGAATTGCTTCAACCTTGACCTAACAATATCTCCTAAAGGAACATTTGGGGCTTTCTTAGCATTCTGTATCCATGGGTGATCTGCAAAGAAGGAAACGGAAACCGTCTTCGCATCAGTAGCATTTTCTCAACTTCAAATTCAACACAAGACACAAGTAGCAAAGATGATGAATAAGAACAAATGAGATAAGATCATTTCATTACCAAGAACTTGCTGAGCAGTCAAACGCTTAGTGGGATCAGGTTCCAACATCTGCTTCACAAGGCTCTTTGCGCTCTCTGATATCTGTGACCAAGGATCTCTTTTAAAATCAAGAACTCCCCTCAAGATTGCAAGAGCCACACCTTGTTCAGTCTCTGTAATCAAAACCTTGCATCACTCAGTTACTCTTTAATCTGCATCTGCAACTTCTCACAAGAATCAAAGCTGCTTTTACCTGCCCAAAACGGAGGAACACCACAAAGCAAGATATAGAGGATAACTCCAGCACTCCACACATCAACCTCTGGTCCATAATTTCTCTTCAACACTTCTGGAGCCATATAATAAGGACTTCCCACAATCTCTGTAAACCTCTCTCCTGCAAATGCATCAAAATTCGATCTTTATGTAACCAGACTCAAAGGAACACACAATTTTCAACAAAACTCTAAAACAGTGAGACCTCTTTAGCTCAATGAAGATGAAAGATTCTAAATTTAGCAAAAAAAAAATCCTCTTTCTAGGGAAATTACCAGGTTTGAACAGCACAGATAAGCCAAAATCAATGGCCTTAAGTGCAGAGTTCTCCTTCTTGTTAGCAAACAAGAAATTCTCAGGCTTCAAATCTCTATGCATAACACCATTGATATGACACATCCTCACAACCTCAGCGATCGTCCTGGCAACTGTAGCCGCCGCACGCTCTGTATAGTGTCCCCTGGCAACGATCCGGTCAAAAAGCTCGCCTCCTTCACAAAGCTCCATCACAAGATGCACGTTCTCGTTGTCCTCGTAAGTCGCCTTGAGTTTCACAACGTTCGGGTGTTCCGGGATAGTTGACATGATCGTCACCTCACGGCGGACGTCTTCCACGTCGACGGCGGTACGGAGCTTTCTCTTGGAGATAGATTTGCAGGCTAAAGCTTGACGAGTCTCTCGGTCAGTACAGAGGTAAGTGATTCCGAATTCGCCGCGACCGAGCTCTCTTCCTAGGATATACTTGTCGCTGATCTGAGATTGATGGCTCATAGGGATCACACGTAACGGTGCGTGGGATCTTAAACCATCGGGATCGTCGTATAAGTTGCGTTTCCGTTCCCGTGGAGTCTTCTTCTTCTGGTTTTGTTTAGAGTCTTCTGGGTCAAACTTAACGCAGGCGATACAATTACCCATGATGGCTCTGAGAGTTTTCAAAACTCAAGTATGAAGAGAGACTAGTTTTGAAGAAGCTTCTTCAATGGTAACTCCGGTGACGCCGCACTAGTCTTTTTTGTTCCGGCGAACCGGTGAGTTGCAGAGAAGAGGAAACGCGGGTTTAGCTGAAGAAAGGTTCGACCTTTTCGTAAATTTTCATTTTGATCAGAAATGGTATTAAAAAATATTGTATTTATATCAATCACAACTTGATGATCCATCGGACCATCTCTAATAAGTAATTACTAAAACAAATAAAATCACATATAGAAATGAGCGATGTTCTAAGTTAATATTATATAACCTATGATTTATAAAAATTGTCAAAAACTTTTTTCTGTGAATTTAGCGGTTTAAAATTATGTGACAGAAACAAGTTTTGTACTCTCTCTTGGTCTGGTGTAATCTAATAAAAGAGTAAGTAAATTACACATAAAATATTCAGAAGAAAATTATGAACCGTCGATTTGTTGATGTGGTGAAACGAAGGGATGGGATTTATTAGCTAGTAGCAAACGTGGAAGGGGGAGATGTTTGATGAAGTTGTTGACCATAGTCCCATACAATACATAGGAGAGATGAGAGAAGTGGATACGGTGACATTGTCAAAAAGTGTGACGTTGGTTTCATTTGAGTTGGTGTCAGCAAAGTACTTTTGTTTTGTTTTTAAAATCGAGAGTTTAATTGTTAGAGTTGTCTTGTCTTGTCTTGTCTTGTCTTGTTTAACTACACTTGTATACCATTTACCTAAATTACCCGCTTTGTTGGATCTACGTTACATTTTTTTTCTTTCTTCGTAATTTAGATTCTTAACTAAAACCATAGAAAAACTGGTTGGTTTTACCATATATTTAAATTATAAACCCTAGTAGTAAGTAATGTGAGCTTTGAAAATTTCTGCAAAAGATTTGGTGAAGATAGTTTCAAAAGCAATCAGATTTGTGTTTAAGATAAGAGGATATTATTAGGTGTAGACTTTGTCAATCTTAAGGAGCTAATCAGCTAACTATCGGACTTTGTTTAGTGGGAATTTTATATTTTTTTTATCAAAAGTAAAAAAATACATATATATATATGAAGATTCCAATATGAATCAAAGTCAACAAAAATGCAAACAAATGCGAACGTCTTGTTGTTTTCTCTAATAAGTGCATTTGCAAAACTAATTGACAAGTATTGTAGTTTACATTCGGAAAGTGGTTCATCATTTTTTTTTTTTCTTGGAAGTATCAACGACTAAATTGGAAGTTCAAAAACCGTAACTCTATTTCCATCAAATGGTATATATGATATTTTTGTGCATATGAATAGAAATTTTTTTTTGTGTTGTATGTGTCACTCATCAGACTGATGTTAGTAGGTAAAAAGAAGTTCTTTAATTTATTTCCCGGTTATACTTTCAACCGACAATTTTTGCATTTGGCAAAAAAGAGAGTGAAAAAAAGTTGAAAGTCATGCAAACATAAACGAGTCTTTTTTTTGTTTTTGTGTAAATCAAAACATTTACATTGAGAAAAAATAGATATACAATCCCCAACATGAGTTTGGGAACTTTGTAACATTTAGTATAATTTTTAATAAAGATTTTGATATTCCATAAACATGACAAGGAAGTATGATCATGGGGTAGTATACTATCTAATTATCTATGATATTACTTTTCACACACCCAAAAAAAGAAAAAAAAAAGAGATAGAGGAAATGATGGATCATGTTTTAGCTTGTGCAACTTTTTAGCTGGCAAAATGATCTATAAAGAAAAACTATATATAACAACTGGAAGAAAAATGTTTAACAAAAAAAAAAAAAACAACTGGAAGAAAAATATATTAGAAAAGTGACTTTCTTGAATGAGGGAGAAAACATGAGATTGTGTATGAAATGATGGGATCAACTCAAATGTTTTCAGATTGCATGTGTATGTGGCGTTGTCATTGCCAACTATTCGAGTTCTTGAAGCCCCCCTCCATCACTTTTCTTTTTTTCTTTGCATAATGCTCTTTCTTATCTACAAACCTATATAAAGTATATATCTATTTTATGGGAATATTATTAAAGTGTAAATATGATAACAATATTCAGCTTAAATATTAAGAGGTATACAATATAGATAACCAAAACTAAACCAATATGAATATATGAATTTTCTGCCTTCGCCTTTGAATGGAGATGCTGGCGGCCGCTTGGTTTATGTTTATCATCTATATGATTTTATCGCTGTTATTTGTTAGTCGATCTCTTTTAAGTTTCTATTAGTCTTGGTTCGTCGTAAGAAAAAAGATTAGTTTAGATTCATTCTAATTTCTATTGTGTTATAAAGAGCAAAAAAAATAAAAAATTTAGCAAATTGAATAGACATATAGATCAAGTGATCAGACTGTAGTAGTTGCAGCCTGCATGGATCAGAGTACTCCCCTGAATAACTTAGGTTTAGTTTAAGATTTTAGACCATCCTTGACCATGGTATCTTAGTCTAAAATTTTTGTGAAGGAATGTAACAAGGCTATTCTTTCTACTTTCTATTATTACAGTTTTACTTTTACAGTGTTAGTATATATAAGCCGAGAGTTCGACAGCTAGTTGGGCTGGAAAACAAAATGTCTTAAACGGACTAAAGACTACCTAACTCTTATCCGAAAAGCCCATTGTTGTATATTTTAGCTTAACATTGTAATAATGCTCTGTTAAAGGGCTCACGAGTATACTAATGGCACGTACAATACAGTATTTGCATCTGCCTCCAACTAAATTATCTCATATCTGTTACACAAGTTAGAATTTAGTAATCAGTAAATCTCTTACTTATTTTAAATTTTCATTTTTCCAAAAACTGTATGTTCAACCATTTAAATAATTTTTCATTATCTTTTTGGGATTAAGAACGTTATAAAATCGAAATTTAAGACGCATACACGTAAATTTTTAGTTAAGGTCGAATCATATACTCACCAAAATCTCTCTCTATCTAAACTCTAACTAAAGTCACAAAACATTCATAGTTCAAAGACATGAAAGTAACGCCACGTGTACAACGAAACTTGAGGAGGACAGAACCGAAACGTTTGCTCCAAAGCCAAAAAGTAAAAAGAAACAAGTATCACTCGCCTTTTTATTAGTTAAATCCAAAGATTCTTATTATTCTCACAAATCAGCCACTAACTTTTAAAAGTAAAAACTCGACACCACATTCATTAAACCAGGATATCGAATTTTACATAATAATGGCAGTATTGGATTTTAAGGAATCACTGAAACTTAAAGATGGTAATCAAATCGATCAGATATAAATCTTGAGTTGCCTATTTTTCATAACAGGAAACGAAATATTTATGTTGAGGTTACTTTAATAAATACAAATATTTAGGGGCCATAGTTGAAAAGGTAGGTAGGTTAAAAAGGAAACATTTTTTTTAATATATATATATTTTTTTAAAGAGACAGTAAAAGCAAAAAAAAAAAAAAAAGTCGTAACCTTTGCAAAGGGTCGTAATTTGGTTGTGTGTGCCCAATTTGCTTGGAGAGCAAAACAAACTTGAAGCTTCCATTTTTGACGGCCACAGAGGGAGAAGGCCAAATTCGCCTTCTATCTCTCTCGTTTTCTTTCTCATTTTCTCCTTAAGATTTATTTTGTGTTTTGTTGTCTGGGGAAAACGAAGCAGACGGAGGAAGTCCAACACCACCGTTTTGAAGGTGACTTCGTTGTCTCTGTGATCTCTCTCGCTTCTCTTCTTTACTTTCTCCGATATATCTTTTTTGCTTCTTTCTTTGCAGTAAATGCTGTTTTTGTTTTCTGGGCTACTCTGTTTTTTTTTTTTTTTTCTGCTTTTGGTGATATTGATCGAGCTTGGAACTTGGGTTGTTCTCAGTTTAATGAGAGTGAATTTTGAGATTGAACGTATTTAAACGTTTGACTGTATGTTCTAATTGTTGACTCTAATTTAGAGTTGGTCAATGTTTTTGCAATTTGAATGTTTCTAACAGAGGGTCAGTTTTGCTGCACATGTTTCTGAGCAACTGGTCTGAATGCATCTCGAAAATGGTGATGGTCTGTTTCAGCTCTGTCAATAGACATTGTTTTTTATCCTAGTTTTGGTAATTTTGGGATTCTTGGTATGTGAAAGGATGATCCTTTATGGAGGAGCTGAAAAATATATATGAAAAGCTCAGTTTTTTAGGTGTTAAATGGTTTAATCTGAGTAATGTACAGAATTTCTCAGTTTGTTGTAACTTTTAAGGGATAAAGAAGTGTATACTGCTTTGTGGACAAGAGAGCTAGATGGCTATTAAAATGTAATTTTGCTTTGTAATTCATGGATTGGTTACATGACCAAGTGTTGAACCTTGATTACTACGTTGGTGGCTCAGTTGACATAAGTCTGGTGAGATAAATCAGGTAGTGTAATAGGTTGTTAAGATAGTTTAAGGGAACGCTCTTTCTTTTATTTGCTGGATCTTTTTTAATCTATATTAGTCTTTCCTGAGTTTCTGCTTCATTTCTTTTTGCAGACAATGATTCGTGCAAAGCACATTAGTAATCTTTCCAGTTCAGCCAGATCCTTTTTTCTTAGTGGAACGAGACCTAGTGCAGCTGATGGAAATTCTTGTACAGGCGCTGAGGATGAAAGTTGCGTCTCAAAACGCCAGCAAATTAGGACTGAAGTTGTACAGACTGGTAAAAGAGCATCAAATTTAGCAGCTGGACTAGCTGGAAATATATTACCTGCAGAGGCTGGTAAACCGCTGGTGGTCCCAAAGACGGTTGAGCATTTCACCCGCACAACTCTTCTTCCGCAGCATGTATCCTCTCCTGCTTTGCCGGGGAAAGCAGATTCTCTAAATCATGCTTCTGCTATTATTAAAGATGATGTGGGTGCACCTATTGGGGATCAGATATTCAATGCTGGTAGTGGAACTGTAAATTTATTGTCAGATGTAGGAAACTATAAGATCCCTTTATCAGATGGAACTAAAGTCATTGGTTTGCCTAAAAGCTCTATGGTTGATCCTACTCGGCCTATTTTGAGTGTTAAGTCTTCAAATGTGAAAGTCAACAGAAGGGAGCACCTTGCCAAAGTCTACCCTAGGTCCACTTCCAAAGATTCATCAGACCGAGTTCCTATAAATAGCTCTCCAGGTACTAAGCAAGCATCAAATGACGTTGCGGAGAATTCTTTTGAACCTTATGATTTACTCTCAAACACTACCTCTGGAAAAAGGAAAAGCATGCCACAAAGACACAATATTGATTCGACTAGGTATGCATCGGGTGATTGTGACTATAATGTGCATTCTTCTGGTGACAGGACGATGATATCTTCTGGTAAGCCTTCAACGGAAATGATGAGAGTGACTGCTCCAACACCTAGGCAGTATTGTAACCCTGGCTACATTGTAGAAAATGTTTCTAGTATATTGCGGAGATTCAAATGGGGACATGCTACTGAAGAGGCCCTTCACAATTTTGGTTTCAGGATGGATGCATACCAAGCAAACCAAATTCTTAAGCAGATGGATAATTATGTGAATGCGCTTGGTTTCTTCTATTGGCTGAAAAGGCAACCTGGGTTTAAGCATGATGGGCATACTTATACCACCATGGTAGGTAATCTTGGTCGTGCAAAGCAATTTGGTGCAATAAACAAGCTCCTTGATGAGATGGTTGGAGATGGATGTCAGCCAAACACTGTTACATATAATCGACTTATTCATAGCTATGGTCGCGCAAATTATCTCAGTGAAGCTATGAATGTTTTTAATCAAATGCAAGAGGCTGGATGTGAGCCTGATCGAGTAACTTACTGTACCCTTATAGACATCCACGCTAAAGCTGGATTTCTTGACATTGCCATGGACATGTACCAGAGGATGCAAGCAGCGGGGCTTTCTCCTGATACTTTCACCTACAGTGTTATAATAAATTGTCTTGGAAAAGCAGGCCATTTACCTGCTGCCCATAGACTCTTTTGTGAAATGGTTGGTCAAGGTTGTACCCCTAATTTGGTCACATTCAACATCATGATAGCTTTGCATGCCAAGGCACGGAATTATCAGACTGCGTTGAAGCTCTACCGAGACATGCAAAATGCCGGGTTTCAACCTGACAAAGTGACATACAGTATAGTTATGGAGGTGCTTGGACACTGTGGATTTCTCGAGGAAGCAGAGGGTGTTTTCGCTGAGATGCAACGTAAGAACTGGGTTCCTGATGAACCGGTTTACGGTCTTTTAGTGGACTTGTGGGGAAAAGCTGGCAATGTGGAAAAAGCTTGGCAATGGTATCAAGCAATGCTTCACGCTGGTCTTCGACCTAATGTTCCCACTTGTAATTCCCTTCTCAGCACTTTCCTTAGGGTTCACAGGATGTCTGAAGCCTATAACTTATTACAAAGCATGCTGGTGCTTGGTCTACATCCTTCTTTGCAGACATACACGTTGCTATTGAGTTGTTGCACAGATGCTCGTTCAAAATTTGACATGGGATTTTGTGGTCAGCTAATGGCAGTCTCTGGTCATCCGGCTCACATGTTTCTCCTCAAAATGCCACCTGCAGGTCCTGATGGCCAAAATGTGCGTGATCATGTCAGCAACTTTCTGGATTTTATGCACAGTGAGGATAGAGAGAGCAAGCGGGGACTCATGGACGCAGTAGTGGATTTTCTCCACAAGTCAGGTCTAAAAGAAGAGGCTGGCTCAGTATGGGAAGTGGCTGCAGTTAAGAATGTGTATCCAGATGCATTGAGGGAGAAAAGCTGCAGCTATTGGCTTATCAATCTTCATGTAATGTCAGAAGGAACTGCAGTCATCGCACTTTCTAGGACACTTGCGTGGTTCCGTAAGCAGATGTTGGTTTCAGGTGACTGTCCTTCACGGATTGATATAGTAACTGGTTGGGGAAGGCGAAGTAGAGTCACTGGCACGTCGATGGTAAGACAAGCAGTTGAAGAATTGCTCAACATCTTCAACTTCCCGTTTTTCACTGAGAATGGGAACTCAGGCTGTTTTGTAGGATGCGGAGAGCCTCTCAAGAAGTGGTTGCTTGAATCATATGTTGAGAGAATGCATTTGCTCTAGTTGTAGATCAGTTGTTTTGTTTTATTTTTTCAAGGCCTCTTGAATTTTTTTTATACTCTAGCAGTATCTCAATGGTCTGGTTTTGTAATATCATAAGTTTAAGGTTAGTGATGGCTGGAACTTATCTCCAGATTTTGTCCTCAGGTCAAAACATTCTCCTCTTGCAATTGGTTGTATTGGTGGGAGTATATAAATCAATATTTGGGGTGATACGACCCTAATTTATTAATACTTGGAATAGTTTTTGTATGTTTTTATTTTTGTACAACATCAAATGTTACAAAAATGCTTTCTTACCAGCAATGTACTACAGATATTGCTAATGGTACAATAATGTAAATGTAAATTGAAAATTGGAGAAAGATCTAAAGGAGCCTCGAATTGTAGGAGCCACAGGTTGTGCATTTGTGGTAGAGCCAATGATAAGGAACATTTCCTTTTCTTCCACAGTCATTACACAGTATTATCTGCACCAAACCATTTTACCAGTTACCATTCAGTTTATTCTTTCATCTCAGTACTCTATATGGGAGAGAGACAGAGAGAGATGCTCTCTCTGTACTATGAAACAATATCGAGAAAGAGAGAGATAAACCTGAGTTTTGTTGGAGTATTCATCAGGCATCTTCTCTTCTGCAAGTAATGCGTCTAGCATCTTAAAATAGACCTGTTTGGGACGGTTCTTTGTTCAGTTTGGACTTTGGAGTATCACTAATCTTCTGAGGGGAAAAAAAAATATATGAATGGTAACTGACCTGCATATCTCCTAGCGACTTGCTGCAGATAGGGCATGTGTAGTGGGAACATGTGTACTCCTACCACCATATTCAAAAACCAAGCTTAGAAACGTGCTTCAGGTTATCACTGTTACCCGAAAACAGATTTTGACAGAGTTAAGTACCTGAAAGCATGAGGAGTGCATCAAGTGCCCGCAAGGAAGAGCCTTGACTGGGGAGTTGGAGGTAAAAATGTACTCATGGCAAATAGGACAATTATCTTCTAAACACTTTTCCCTGCAAACATGCTCTGCTAAGGTACGCGACATGCAGGCATTGCATTTCATGCAATGGAAGTAGTCAATTCCCAATCCTTTCCCAACTCGGCAGAGATTGCAGTAAGGACAGTGATAAATTTTCCTGTTACAAAGAACTAATAACTCTCAGCCTCTAATGATACTGAGTCCAACAAGAAAGCACAACAAGTCATGAATTAAAGATAACTTGATTTAGTATTTTTAATAAGTACCTTTCATCGTCATATAATTTGCATATTTTGCAGAAGTATTTTCCCATTGACGACTTGCACGAAGTATTTGAGCAATTTGCACCAATTGGCTGAATCAAGAGGCATTTCATGCACATCATCTTTGTTATCTGTTTCCTGCATAAAAATTCAAGATAAACAAAAAAAAAGACAAACGCAATATGATTTTTGGAAGCTCCTTGCAAGAATGTTGAAGATGGATGTTACTACCTATCTACTGAGTGATCAGCCTCTTCATCATGACATCGTATACATGTGAAGAGTTTGTCGCAACAAGGAGCAAGAAGCTTGCAATTCCTCTTGTAGTGATTGCAGCCGAAAATCAAACTGTGAGGATCTCGATATGATGGATGTTGACCAGGAACTGTTTCCATGTCGCTTAAGAGAGAGGATGGTTCCAGACTGTATGCCCGTTGTGAGATATTCCACCGACTGAAAAAAAACAAAATACATGATCTTACGTAAGTCTCAATATCTATAAGAAAGACACCTATTTTGACTATGATCTTGTAAACTTAACCACCAGACGAATAAGTTATTTGTACAAGTACAACATCTTTCTGTTAATAGGACATGTACAAGACTAAATAGATTTCTCAGCTTATAAAATTTAAGTTTCAACATGAAACCAAAAGAGAGGTAGCCAAGGATTACCTCATTAACAAGTTCTGCTTGATATAAGATTTCTTCCGAGGATCCATGGAAGAGTCGCATGATATTTTCTTAATCACAGCCACCAGTTCTTCTTCACTTATTGTTAACAGTTGTTCATATTTCTTGGATTGACCAAACCGACTAACCTTCTGAGACATTCGGAAAGTCTGAGCAGGACTTCTTGTCTGGTAATTGATGTCAGTTTTTTCGTTGTCCTCCATTTTGTCAGCTCCTCTACATATCTTCTTACTTTCTGAGCATTCCAGATCTTTTTTCTCTTTGTTTCCAACCTCGACATTGTTATCAGAAGGTGACTTATTCATATTACCTGTCAAGTATGTCTCTGGAAGTTCGACAAGGTAGCTTCCAATGCTCCCTCTATCCCCATCAGCATTTGTTTCAAAGAGATACTTCCAGACAATCTCCAATGGATCTGAATCCTCAAATGGATCATTGTTTGCTTCTCCGACTTCATCTTGTATAACATGACCGTTATACCATTCTGTTAGCCATTCGACAAACATTGTTTTCCTTGTTACTTGGCGCCATAAGGACATCGCTGCAAGCTGTTCATCAGAGGATAAAGATTCCATTAACCAGGGTATCATATCCTGCAATATTTCCCCACTTATTCTCCCAAGCATGCATCCTATGATTTTTTCTTGCTCTTCAATAGCAAAACAGTTCCTGAATAGACCCCAGAGTTCAGTTTCTTCATGCTGGATATGCTCAGACAATAGCTTGTGCATAGATTTGCCAATCTCTTGGAGACTCAAACACAACCGCTCATACTTCATCTTTCGGTGGTCTGCTGCTCTGGGATTGATAGTAGAAACTAACATGTTCAGCTCTGACATCTCATTCAATATGAATGAAACTTTATCGAAGTGTTTAGTTTCTAGCTCATGATCAATGCTAAATGAGTGACTAATGTTTCTAAGTCGTCCCTTGGCCTCCAATGCTGGAAATGCAATCTCATCCTCTGCATCAGAATGTATCTGATACAAAAACTTTATCATCTGGAATCGCTGTTGAAACTCAGTGAGAAAACAAAAGTCGGCTGCCAATCTTGCTGATCCACAAACAAGGTAGTCCAAATCCATCTTCATTGCCTTATGGAAGAAGAAAAGGAGGTCAATTGGTTTAACGTTCATAATAAGTGGATCATCCATATTCTTCTCACCAAAAAACTCTGGAAGATGGAGTGGAGGCTTATGTTTCCCTGAGAAAATCATTTGCTGATTCATTCGACTTGAGTAAGGTGTCTCGTACATATCTCCAGCGCCTAAATCCCTTGACAGTAAGCAGGTTGAAGACTTGTTTTTCTTCCAAGGACAAACAAGCAAATCATCTTTAGATCCTTTGCACAGTTCCAGCTGTGCTTGGTCGGAAAATGATCCAGATGCTTCTTTAGTGTTGTTCTCCTTTTGGCAGGAGCATCTTACTTTAAACATTACAGCCAGTTGTTTCCAAAAACTTTCAACAGATGTTTTGCCTGAGTAACCAAAGCGAAGCCACTGCAACAAGAGGCATGCAAATGATTTTTTGGAAGAAAAATCTTCCAAACTTAAGAACTGAAGAATGGATTGAGATTCCTCTTCTGACAAGTGAGCAGAAAACCAAAGTATAACACACTTTAGCAATCCAAGAGGTAAGACATGAATGCTTGTGTATAGGAGCTGCTTCTGCATTTCATGGTTGCAATTCTTGGTGATGAATGGGAATACCTGGAGAACAATGAGAGTAAATATGTTGGATATAATATTCACAAAACTTGCATGGAAGTTATAGAAATGAAACTTTTTTAGACGAGTATCAATGTATCATAAGCTTACCTTGGTTCTCTGTAAAGAAAATTGCTTGGTTACTTGGACTATAAGGTTCTCAAGTTCCTCTTGGAGCTGAAACAGAAAATTAGCCGTCCTTGATTTATCATCAGCACTTTTGTATAGTAATCTCTGAAAATTCTCGAGACAGCCATCTATGGTGAATTGTGCGGTATTTGAAGAGCGGCGATCTGTCATTTCTTCCAACACCGGGTGAAGGAACCTTTTGAATGCATTGCTGCAACAAAGCAAATCATGCTGTAACTCACATAGAGAAAGAAAAGGAAGGGAAACGAAAAATGATTTAAGAGAGTAGCTAGGCATCATACAAAAGAGAAAAATCAAGTTATCCAACAAACTATTACCTATAAGAAACAAGGACATCAGCAAGGAAGTTTAATCGAGCCATCAGTACGTCAAGGTCTAAACTAAGGCTTGGGAATTTTGCTTGGCTTAATCCTTCCCGAATGTCTCTCAAATCTTTTTCGATAGCATTTTGAAAAAGATGAAGACCATGAATCGGGCTGTGTCCTCCTACATTTGGAATATGAAGGGACTTTTTACTCCACTGCCAAAAGCGTTGAAAACATCCACTGGACTCATGTGTCTGAGGTAACTTCTTCATATTCTTAGACACGTCTACATAGTGGACTCCTTTCATGATCTCTGTAGGAATCCCACCACAAGATTGGCCCTTGTCATCAAGTAGCCAAGAGCGTATGACCTTCAGAAAAATTGTATCATCTTTGATTATCAGAATCAAGAAGATGGAAGGAAAACATAACATATCTCGGCAAAAGGAAATATATACCTGTTGTAATGAGTCTTCGATGGGGACAACATCTTTGATGCAATTCTCAACTTCAGTTTTCTCCTCGTGAGAGAGATAAGACATCATCCAGGGCAAAAAGTCTTCCAGTACCATCACTGGAACACTACAAATGAATTGCCACACAAGTGATGCCTGCTCTTTGAAAGAGAACTTCTCAATTAACAAAGGAAAGACCTGCATGAAAGCGTGAAGTTATAAGCCTGCAATTATAAGGAAAGTGGGATAGATTATATATGACTGAAAGAAATGTTATTTCTATCAAAACTCTTGTACTTGTCAAAACAGAGTTGAAGTACTAACAAGCAAGGCTTATACTATAACCAGTATACCTGCAGCTCTTCTTTAAGCATATGTTGGCATATAGATGACTGAATGGTGCCTATGCATATTATAACTTGACGAAGTACATCACTTGTGCTTCCTATTTCCTCTTCAAGAACATGTAGCCAATGAAAAACTGAGGTGAAGAGATCATCTGTGCCAGCATGCTCAAGCGAATAATTAGAAACTATGTTTTTCACTCGTGCATCAAGCGCCGAAAAGATAACCTGCCAGTTAAAAAAACAAAATCAAATTATTTTCAAAAGCCAATGTTAATTATCATGAATCCAGTTTACTAGTCAGATTCTTGACATCAAAGATACAAAAAATGAAACTGCAACAATAGTTTAAAGTGTTCACATCCATTAAAAGTTGGACAGTATCTGTACAGTAGAAACCTAGTCTAACCAAGATCAAAGGAAACATCATAAAGATAAGCCAACCAAAGATTTAATGAGATGATGATGATAACTTAAGCTCTTGTGTGGATTTGTAGGCATCATTGACTCTAAAAATTAGTAATCTCCTATTCTGGCTAAACCTCAATTTACTATTATTCCCGCAGAAACTTAACAATACGACATCCCGCAACTCATAGAAAAAATATGAAAAACAAAAAAAAAAACAGAGAAAGAAACTTGAGTTAAAAGTGATAAAATGAAACCTCATCTTCAGCTGCGCTGTGATACTTATATACAAGCTTCAAAAACTCAAACTTCCGGGAGAGCTCCACCGCCAGATCCCGGCTAGAATTATTAGCTTCTGCGGCGTCAGTAGCGAAACGCCGGAGCTCAACCAGCTGAGCACGGAAAGCCTTGTGGAAGTATACAAAGAAAAGAACTGGAGCATCCGAAAGCTTCGTGTTTCCGATGGCAACCGCAGAAGCAGAAACCGAAGCATTCTCCGGCGGAAGGGAATGAATACGTCCGCCTCCCATCCACCGCAACCAAAACCTCGAGGGGAATCAAAAGTTTTTCTTCTTCTTCGTGATAAAGTGAAGGAGAAAAGGGAAAGAAGAAAGAACCAAAGTTGACGAGTAGAGAGGGCTTTGTAAGGCCTGGATCATCTCTGCTGAAGCCATTGTTTTATTTTAATCAATTTGAGAGTTTTATTATATTAGTAGTGACTGAGACGTTGCAGCTGAAAAACCAACCAAAACCTTAGTTATATCATATTCTGGCGGTATTTATAATTTTAAAATATACTCTCCAGTTTTAGTCTCTATTTCAATAATTAGTACAATAGTGCATGAAAGAAAAACATTAAGTAGAATGTTTAACTAATGCATATATTGAGTTTGATGTTTTGTAATTGGGTAACATTGAAAAATCTCGTGATTTGCGGGGCTGAGTCAGCCTCGTGAGAGATTTATGATAAAAATGGCGTGACCTTGGCCGGCCGTACAGTTGTCCCCATCCATCTCCCTTGACCGGTCTTCGTTGACTCCGGTAGTTTAATCCGTTATTTTTATTTTAACGCCCCCCGTTCGATCCTGCCCTCCTCCACGAGCCCTCTTGTTTCCGTCGTGTGCTCTTCATTCGACTCCACGTGCCTTCTCCTTCTAACTAGGCTCATCAAATTAAGACATTTTAACTATATAGGCCCATTCCAACATTTTAAAGCCCACTAAGGTTTTAATAATAAATATAAAGTTGTTGGTCCAAAAAAAAATCAATTTTTATACAAATTATATAGATTCGTCATCGTGTTCGCTTCTCTGTCTTTTTTTTTGTTTTTTTTTAATAAACTCCCCGGCGAGAAAGCTGGAAGTAAATTGGCGGCGATGGATACGATGAGGACGAAATGGGTGGCTATGGCTGCTAGTATATGGATACAGTGCACAAGCGGCGCTTCATATACATTCGGAATCTACTCCGCCGTTTTGAAATCGACCCAATCGTACGATCAATCCACTCTCGACACCGTCTCCGTCTTCAAGGACATCGGAGCGAACGCCGGAGTATTCTCTGGGCTTTTGTATACATACGCTACCTCTAATCGCCGCCGTGTACGGGGAGGCGCAGGAGGGCCTTGGGTGGTGCTTGCTATAGGGGCAATTCAGTGTTTCGCCGGTTATTTTCTCATTTGGGCTTCCGTCACCGGGCTGATTGGGAAGCCGCCGGTGCCGCTGATGTGCCTATTCATGTTCGTAGCAGCTCAGTCGCAAACGTTCTTCAATACGGCTAATGTCGTGAGTGCCGTTGAGAATTTCGCTGACTATGGTGGTACAGCCGTCGGCATTATGAAGGTTATTTTCTCACAGTAGTAACCTTTTTATTTGTCGGTGGCTTGAATGGATCATGCTTTAAGTTGTTTCCTTGGGACCTGAATGATCAGTATTCGGCTATGATCCTGGTACAGTATATAAATTGGGTAACTGTTTGAAAAGGAAGATGCTTTGAACTTTTGAACGTGGGAGCAATTGAGATTTGAATCCACTCGTTAAAATATAAACAGAGTCGAAATTGTGTACCATAAGCGTAGGACCTACTGACTAGTAAATATTTGTTCTTTTCTGGTTAACCTTGTAAATGAGGATGCAACCTCCACCTTTCGATAGTAGAAACTTTTTTTTGAGACCCCATTTGGTTCAGTATATCAACACTGGGTGCTTCATGGTTTCAAGTTTGGAAATTTTTCTGCAAATACTATAGTGGTTGTGGGAGATAACTGATGCAAGGTGAAAGGTTTTTTTTTGGGATGTAGATGATTTTCTGTTGATTCCATCTTGTTGGGACTATTTTAGATTTTGACAGAGTTTTGGAGGATTGTTGGCTTATTTTTCTAGTTGATTCATCAGAATTTAAGGTTATGTCTTGAAGAGACTCACTTTAAAATGCCATAGGAAAACTTTCAGGTATTAATTGAAGTCCAATTGGTACTTGATACTATGATATATTTCTATTGAGAAGATCATGGTTTTTTAATAATAAACTGGTCATTTTTCTTTCTTACAAGCTGTTTTGAATATGCTTTTGCACTGTTGACGCGGTGTTTCAATTTGTTAATGATCATGGTGAAGCATCCAAGCTTATCTCTACCTTTTTCTTTGCAGGGTTTTCTTGGTCTAAGCGGAGCGATATTAATTCAACTGTATGAGACGGTGTGTGCTGGAGATCCAGCGAGCTTCATTCTTCTACTGGCTGTAACACCAACACTGCTCTCACTCTTGGTCATGCCTTTAGTCAGGATCTATGAGACAAGCGTAGTCGATGATAAAAAGCATTTAAATGGTCTTTCAGCTGTATCTTTAATCATTGCAGCTTATCTTATGATCGTTATCATATTAAAGAACACCTTTGGTTTGTCATCATGGGCCAATGTTGTCACACTTGTATGTTTGCTCATCCTGCTTGCCTTGCCTCTACTTATTGCGAGACGAGCACAACGAGACGGCATGGAGAAAACCGCACCACATGATTATTCCCCTCTCGTAAGCAGTCCAAAGGCAACAACCTCCGGTAACCAAAGTTCTGAAGGAGACAGTAGAATAGATTCTGGTCTGAGTGACAGCCTGAATCTTCTGCAAGCTATGAAAAACCTAAGCTTCTGGTTGTTGTTTCTTGCTATGATTTGTGGAATGGGCTCTGGACTTTCGACGATAAACAACATTCGTCAAATAGGCGAGTCTCTTCGATACTCATCCGTTGAGATAAATTCACTGGTGTCCTTGTGGAGTATATGGAACTTTCTTGGTAGATTTGGAGCTGGTTATGCCTCAGATGCATTGCTACACAAAAAGGGATGGCCACGTCCTTTGCTAATGGCTGCAACACTTGGAACGATGACCATAGGCCACCTAATCATAGCCTCAGGCTTTAAAGGAAACCTCTATGTCGGTTCTGTCATAGTTGGCGTTTGTTATGGTTCACAGTGGTCATTGATGCCTACAATCACTTCTGAACTATTTGGGGTTCGCCACATGGGAACCATCTTCAACACCATATCCGTGGCTAGTCCCATTGGTTCCTATATGTTCTCTGTAAGATTGATCGGTTATATCTATGACAAGACTGCTTCTGGGGAAGGAAACACATGTTATGGCTCTCACTGCTTCAGGCTGTCATTTATTATAATGGCGTCTGTTGCCTTCTTTGGGTTTCTGGTCGCCATTGTCCTGTTCTTTCGGACAAAGACGCTATATCGCCAGATCCTTGTAAAGAGGTCACATCGTCGATAGAGATCTTTTGAATACTATACAAAGTGAAAAACCGCTCCTCTTGCTACATCCATGGTAGCCTTTGATTCCCAAAGGTACACATCGATTACTTTACTTGTAAGTTAAATTGTAAGTTACGTTTTGCATCAAATGTCTGTGTTTAGAGATGGGAAGAAAGAAAGATGAGATCTTTGTCTCTCTTTCTTATTTGTAGTTTCTTCGACAAATGTGAGTTTTGTGAAGTGTATAGACATGTCATCAGAACCCCCAATAATGTTGTAATTTCTTTTATTCAAATTTGTTGATAAACTATGCTCTGTGCATTTAAATAATACTGCAGGCCATCAAGTCTCATTCATTCATTCATTATTTCAGTTTAATCCAAAAACCAATCACCATTCACCAACACTGTTTTATTCAATGCGTTTCGAGTTATACTGTTTATAAACGTCAACATAATTAATTACTGCATAAGCATAAAAAACAAGTTATGACTTTGGAATGAAAAGTAGGTTTTGTAGCCTTAAATGGAAGAGAGCTTGAAGAAGACAATTGCTTTCTTCTTTTTTATCTTTGTTCTACCAACTTGAAACCTACTTTTTGAACCCCAATAACTAAGTTCTTAAAAATACAAAAACCCAGAGGTAAGAAAGTCAAATTAGTTGACTTTTCTAATCTGGAGACGATAGCCCCGTGAATGAGAGAGGAGTTGAAAAGAAAACAAACAATCAAAAGCTAGCAGCAAAGCAAAGAAAAAGACACAAACTTTGTTCATCGTATCTCTCTCTGTGACACGAGAAAGTTAGAAAAATTCAAAACGAACATGATAGTATTCATTAATTATTATATCAGACGAGAGATTTCTGGGGATATGGTTGTTGGTAGTCATGGGAAGACAGTAAACGCCATCGCAGTTGCATTTATTCTGTCTGTAGAGTCAAACAAACTAATTTATATTATTTGATTATCAATCCATATCTCTCTTGTCTTGTCCTGCAGGATCAGATGTATAAAAAAGAGAGCTCTTTTCTTCTTCTTTCTTGATTCTCTCTCTTCCACTGTCATTATCCATTATCCTCAAGAGATTTGTCTCTTCTGAGGCGTCATGAGGCTTCATCAATCTCTTGTGGTGTTCTTCTGTTTGTTTCTGTCATGCTTCGCTCTTTCTTCCTCGGCTCTGCCTCTTTGCTCCGATTCAAGTGAGTGTTTTTTGTTTTGTTATCATGTTGATTAAATTTTAGTTCTTGATTTGATGTAATAGTCAACCTTGTTTTTGTCTATTTTTTCAGGAGCTCCATTGGAGGTGAATTCGACAGTGAGCTTTTGTCCTTACAAAGTAAAAACATGCTGCAATACGATTGAAGATTCCAATTTGAATAAGCAATTCCAAGCTATGAACATTTCCGACAAGGGTTGTGCTTCTGTTGTAAAGTCAATCCTTTGTGCTGTAAGTACAATGAGTCTTTTATCAATAAAGATTCGTAAAAAGTTTCATTATGCAACACTTTTCTTCAATCTGCCATTATGCTGTTTTGGTTTTTAAAAGAATCTACAGAACAGGAATTGTGTTCTAAGTTTCTCTGTTTTGTGTTTTCTTACTCTGATGTTACAGAAATGCGATCCTTATTCATCGGACTTATTCAGAGGTAATTCAGATCAACAGTCTGTTCCAATCCTCTGCAACTCTACCAGCTCAGCAAATTCCACGATGGACTTTTGCTCTGAGACATGGGAGACATGTCAAAACGTTTCCATATCGGGTTCTCTTTTCGCTGCTTCATTGCAAGGCCGAGCTGGAGCTCCAGCAAATAACAATGCCTCCAAGCTTGCTGATCTATGGCAGTCCAAAACCGATTTCTGTAGTGCCTTTGGTGGAGCTAGCTCCAATGAAACTGTTTGCTTCAGTGGTGAGCCTGTTACTCTTAGTGACACTACTCCTGACAAGTCGCCTTCTGGTCTATGCCTTGAGAAAATCGGTAACGGTTCTTACCTCAACATGGTTCCTCACCCTGATGGCTCGAACCGTGCCTTCTTCTCTACACAACCTGGAATAGTATTCTTGGCTGGTATACCGGATCAGGATTCAGGCGGGGTATTGGATGTGGATCCATCTAGCCCGTTTGTGGATTTGACTGATGAGATTCATTTTGATACTGAGTTTGGGATGATGGGAATGGCTTTTCATCCAAAGTTTGCTCAAAATGGGAGGTTTTTTGCTTCTTTCAACTGTGATAAGTCCAAGTGGCCGGGATGTACTGGAAGGTGCTCATGTAACTCCGATGTGAACTGTGATCCTTCTAAAGTAACCCCTGATAGTGGATCTCAACCATGCCAATACCAAACCGTAATAGCTGAGTATACAACCAATGGCACCTCGGCAGACCCTTCTAAGGTGTGTACTCTTTTTGGCCCCCTTTTCAGCATCTAAAACTTTTGTTTATTGTCATAGAGCCTCAAGCTTTTTCCCGTTGTTCAGGCAAAGAACGCTAAGCCAACAGAAGTCAGGAGGATTTTCACAATGGGACTTCCCTTCACATCTCACCATGCTGGACAGATTCTCTTTGGTCCAGATGGTTACCTATACTTCATGATGGGAGATGGAGGTGGAGGCGCAGACCCATATAATTTCTCACAGAACAAGAAATCTTTGCTAGGAAAGATCATGAGGCTTGACGTAGATAACATTCCTAGTGGGTATACTCTGGCTTTTGTTACTATAGTAGCTGAATCTGCAAAAGCACAGCATATATATGAATGTTCTTTGTCATTTACCAAGATCCACAAATGTCTGTAGGTGCTTCTGAGATCTCCAAAATGGGTCTATGGGGAAACTACTCTATACCAAAAGACAACCCTTTCCGTGAAGACAAAGATCTTGAACCTGAGATATGGGCAGTTGGGTTGAGAAACCCATGGAGATGCAGCTTTGATTCTTCTAGACCTTCTTACTTCATGTGTGCTGATGTTGGACAGGTAATAGCTGGTTTTGGACAATCAGTTTGTCTGTTCTTTCTTTTCAGTCTTTCACTGTTCTTGATATGTTTTTTGGTCAATAGGATACATATGAAGAGGTGGATCTTATTACCAAAGGAGGGAACTACGGTTGGCGTGTTTACGAAGGCCCGGATCTTTTCCATCCGGAATCATCCCCTGGAGGAAACACATCCGTTAAATCAGTAAAGACGATATTTCCCGTGATGGGTTACAACCACTCTGAAGTTGACTCAAGCGGAAAATCAGCTTCAATCACTGGAGGATACTTCTATAGATCAGAGACTGATCCTTGCCTAGCTGGAATGTGAGCCAACATACACTCTCATCTGCTTCCTTCTCTCTTGTGGTTCTCACATTCATATAGTAACAAAACATTCTGCAATAATAATGTTTTTTCTTCTTCTTCTGCAGGTACGTGTATGCTGATCTATATGGAAATGGCGTATGGGCGGGGATTGAAACGCCTGTTAATAGCGGGAACTTTGTGACCAACAGAACAACCTTCAACTGTGCCAGCGACTCACCCATGAAATGTAGTGATTCTCCAGGATCTTCAGGGCCATCTCTAGGGTATGTCTTCTCCTTTGGTGAGGATAACAACAAAGACATCTACATGCTCACAAGCAACGGTGTTTATAGAGTGGTAAGGCCGAGCCGTTGCAACTTGACTTGCTCAAAGGAGAACTCCACGGCAGCTAGAAGAAACCCTGGTCGCTCTAGTTCTCCTTCTTCATCGTCTTCTAATTATAAGCATATGAATGGTTTCCATGGAAGCTTGATGGTTTTATTCGTGTCTCTGTCTTTGATTATGCTACGTTCATTAAACTAGTTCTCAGAAGTTGTTTCTTGTTTGTGTTGAATTGGTATGAGTTTTGTTATTGAATTGTATGTTCAGGATGTTTTGAGAAGATATATGTATGACCAAAGAAGTAACAAATTTCCATTTAGATTAAGAAATGGGTTTATACATATTAAAAAAAAAAAAAAAAAAAAAAAAGTGATTCTCTATGTTTTCTTCCCTACTCCCAGTTTTCGTCCCCATTTCTTCAACAGATCAAAAGGCTTGAAGCTGCAGACCAATAAAATCAAATCCACGCTCTCTTTCTCTGTGTGTGATGCGCTTGCAAAATTGATTTCTTAATTTCACCTGGCTTTCTACGGCAAGCTTGACGGCATATTATATCTCAGGAAATGTGAATGTTTCCTCAAGTATCATCTCATGTTACAACACTCAGGCTTGTTCTGTCTTAAGAGCTTATCCCATAAGCATATCATCTGTCTCGGCGACTGGTAATGAGCTGTGTAGTAGTTCTCAACACAGCCAAACTGACAGAATCTCAGACTGTGTCTGTAATCCACTGGGTTTGTTGTATTCTTGAAATGCTCAACCCACATTCCAACACTCACGTCCTCCATCTTGAACAGCTGGTGGGTGTATGTGAACAAAAGACATTTTCAGCAACAGAGAACGAGAAATGAAAAACAAGATGGTCAATTAGTTTGATTCCCTCGTCTGCTTACCCGTAATTTATGTCTCTCAAACTCTTCTACAATGAAGCGTGCAATGTCAGAAGATAGAACATAACCAGGTCCATTTGCATAGGGCGGGTAGTCCTCCTCTGGCCATTCCTGATGTCACCCCCAATATATACATGAATAATGAGTGAAAATTATAACGTTTCCATAGAACTGACACACTAGAGAAGAATTTATAAACAAACACCTAAAACCTTCACACTATTTCATGCAATATGCAGCATATAGATATTGAGTATGATGTAGAATAATGTACCTCGTATGTGACTGCCCATTTCCCACCACGTAAAGGTTTGTGGTAATAATTCATGTTACCAATGTACAGGCTTCTACCTTCGGGTACTTTTTTCACTTCATTAATCACCGCACCAAGTTTTACAAATGTATCATCGTCACACTTCATTATGTACTTTGCAGAGAATGCAAGAGCCTGCAGCAGCCAAAGTCAATTTTCAACAATCAACTCCATAGAAACACTAAATTAACAACGCTTCTGCAGAAACACGGCATATATAAAATCTGATAACTCACTCCATGTTCACATATGGCAACAGTTTTTAGCACGACAAGATCATAGCTATCCATGTAAGGAACAAGTACAATGTCCCCAAAATACTCTGCTTCTTTTTTCAATTCCACATTCACCTCCTTTCTCCCATGCTGTAAAATGCACATCACGGAAAGAAAAAAAAACATTAATGTTCCCCACTGTCTCCAACTCTTTATTGTTTCGGTCACACTTACACTTTGTTAAACGTACTAACTGCCTTCATGACTTGAGACTTTCTGAAAAAATGTAAAATCCAACTTACCAGCGCCACAAAGAAACGAGCAACAACTTTTGCAGATGTAATAAGAACATGCTGCATCCAGGATCTCCTCACGGCCATCCGCTCAGAGAAATGATTGCCTGCGGAAAGGATGCCGATAAAGAGCTCCACAGGCCCATCGGGAACTACAGGGGCCTGCCATCTCTTTGACAACTCTAGATGCCTTTGGGGAGCAAAGCTAGGATGTGATGTTGGCAGAGAGGCAACGAAAACAGAATGTACATCAATGTCTCCATTTACGGTTAGCCCTGTTGCATCCTCGAGAGTGAAACCCTATCATAGATAACAAAATTACAAACAAAAACAAAAAATAAAAAAATAAGCAAAACAAACAAACAAACTCATTTTACGATCTGCACTATTATGTATCACATGATAACCATTTATCTGAACACAATCATGTAGAAAAGGAGTAGGATATATACTTACAGTGCGATAAGGGAAAGATGTAACATGCTTTCCATCGACATTGATATGGTAACCCTCTAAACCGGCGCTAAGAGTAAGAACAAACAGCTTCTCTTCTACAAAAGGAAACGGCCATTCTACTTTAACCCTTTTTCTCCTTCCTATAAGTCTATTCAACCACCATCTTGCCCTCGACCCTTCTGAGTAGTTATCATCATCACGGATCCACTTCTCACACTTCACATGACTATCAACTGCAGCCACACTAAATTATTAATCAACAGGTGACAAGAACCATAACTCGCAACATAATCATTTCCTAGCTCCCAATGAATCACAAAGTGAATACAAAACTAAGTCTTTTTTTTTTGTTGCTTTCTTAACTTTGAATTCAGATACCAAGTTACAAAAGAAAAGGCCTCACCAGTCTCTTCCTCAGCTCTTGATTTCCATCCTTCGCATCGTTGTGCAGGTCCCCATTGCATTCTATAGCAACTGTTCTGCTCAATCACAGGTTTTTTGCTCCAATCTCCCTTAAGCCTGGGATTGAAATGCAGAATCCGAGGAGGATCCTCTCCCTCAACGGTCTTCAAACCTTGTAGCTCTATCAAAAACTGGGACACCAACTTAGACCAATCTCCATCCTTGGGATGACTTTTCCTTGGCCGTCCCACTAAGGTTATATGCGAACCCAATGTCAAACCACAGGGCAGCTCCATCAGTTTGTTCTCACGGTTCATGAATTCCGACCCGGTTAAGGAAACGGAATGTGGACATGAATCTGATTTGTTCTTCTCTGGCTTCTCCACTAGTTTCTCAAGCCTTCCTGATTCAAGCTCCTTCCATAGCTTTCTACCTAGCTGCCAAGCTTCCTTGGCAGACTTGTGAAGCTCCACTGACCCGTCTTTACTACTCGGGTCGAAAGTTTCCGAATCAAATCTCAAGCTAGAGAGCAGACCACGGTGATGTTCACGGACTGAATTCGGGTGCGAAACTGGCTTCAACGGAGGATCAGGGATTGTCTCGACTTGGGGCACTTGCTCAGTCTCGAGCTTCTCGAGTCGAGAAAGGGAATCAATGGAGATAGAGCTGCTGGACCAGGATTTGAATACGAGAGGTATCTCTACTGAGACAAATAGCAGATAGAGAAACCCTATTGCCATTATCACACGAACCGATCTCTGCTTCCATAGTGAAGAGAACAGATCAAGCTTGTCGATTTTTTCCACTTTCGCCAATTTGGGTTTTTTCATTTCTTTCCTCTCTTTTTTTTTCTTAGGATCCAAGCAACGAAATGAATTTGTAGAAAAATACTAACTTTGTATTAAGAGGAATTCGAAAATGGTAGAGAGAGCTGGTAAATTTGTTGACGGGGGAGCAAACGAAAATGAGTAGAGGATGATGACGAGAGAGAGAGAGCTGAAGAAGAAGGAGATCTTGATTCTTCTTTGATATACGCTAAAGTGAAAATATTTTGGGCGTATGTTAGTACAAATATTTTCTTCTTTTATTTTTCTTTTTCCAAAATTATTTTTTAGTCTTTAAAATATCTCACTTAATTTTTCCTTTTGAGTAAATTGTTAAATCATTGTCCTGCAGAATATAATAAATTCTGAAATCTTCATAATACAGAGATAATAATAATCAATAAGATTCTTTCGAGTTTCGATGGACACACACACAAACACCAATTGTGTTGCACGAGAATTGGTGTATGTGTTGTTGACACATGTCACATATGAGAGATTGTGAGTATGTGACATAAGCCCATGTCTGAAATGGGTATTAAGAGATTAGGAAATGGGTTTCTTGTAAGATCTTTTCGGATGGGCTCGCTCTTTCACGTCTCTCACCCATGCATCTGTCTACAATGGGCTTTACAGAAGTACACATTGCTTCTTCTTGTTTTGGTAAATAGTACACATTGCTTCTTTTGAGTTTACTACATTTGATTATCGTTATTGCTGTCAGAAATACCAAAATCTGAACTGAAAAGACACGTTAAAAAAATTATTCTCTCTAGTTTGGATTAGTTTAGATTTCTCATAACTATGAAACCGTTTGTTTAAGAAAATAAAAAAACTGATTCGAGAGATTTGTGATGTAAAATATCAAATACTAGTATATTTCACACTCACTGGCACTGCCAAGTGCCAACTAATTTTTTTTTTTTTAACTTAAAGCTTACATTTACTAAAAATAGTTGTCAAAGCTAGACCTATGTCTGATGGACGTCTATCCTACAAACTTCACGTTTGAGGTGTCTAATATCATAAACGTGAAAGGGGGTGTATTAGAAATTTTCAATATTGATTACTTGAGCAATAATACATTTTCTTGCTTTGTTTACATATTTAATTACCTAAAAACGTCGAGAAGAACTCGCGGAGACGAGTCATACTCGTAATTAAGAAACAAGAAAATGGTTAAGCATATATAAAGGCCTATATTCTTTTTATTTTTATTTTATAAAAAAAAATATAATAATATATATTTTTTTTTTTTTTTTTATACATCTTATATATCTTATTAGTTTTCTTCAAAAGAGGCATCATTTAAATACAAATCAAGATAACATAAGGAAACAAGAAATCTGAAACATAAATCTGATGTGAAGCCAAGGAAGAGATGAACCGCAACCTTCAGGATAAGTTACCGCTGAACATAACGAAACCAGGTAGACAAGAAACTTTCCAAAACAGAGGTGGGGGCTGCAGTAGAATTCATTTTAATTTGAAGTTGACAGTGGTCCAATCCAGCTAGCTTTGCCCTCATGACAAGCTGAATTTCCTTAATAATGATAGCGGGTGATTTGAAAGACGAGGTATGCAACCGAGAGTTTCGTTCTCGCCACAAACCATAAACAACTGCCTGAAAGATGAGTTTGCAAATAGTTCTGAGTTTTTTAGAGCGAGAAGAACGTACCCAAGCAACAATGTCCTCAAACATAGCAGGAGGAGACAGGCTGGGGTGGGTGAAAAAAGAAGACCATACTTCATGAGAATAAGCACACTCAAAGAAAAGATGTAAGCGACTTTCAGCTGATGAGGTACATAATAAACATTCACTAGGAACATTCATTCCCCAACCTCTAAGACGATCTCGCGTAGTTAACCTGTTTCGAATTACAACCCATGATATGAAAGCATGTTTTGGAATGCGCTCCTTGAACCACACAGATTTGAACCAAGGTACAAGCGGACCAGCAGGATGAGTTGAAATCCAAGTTTTTGAGGTAGAAAATACTCCTGGAGGCTCATTGGGCGAGTTTCTCCACAAGAAAAAATCTGATTCAAGAGATAACATATTAGGGACGGGCTGAGGGAGACATTGACGAAGAAGACATAAGATCGGGTGTCTCCCGCGAGGAAGAAGCCATGAATCATTTGCACAAGACTGAGACACTCTTGCGAAAGAGGGAATCCCAAAGACTCTTGGCCCATTTGGTCCAGTTATGTCAATCAACGGACCTAAATTAGTCCAATCATCATGCCAAAAATATGCAGAGCATCCTGAACGAACTTGACAAGCTAAGTAAGGACGAGCTAAATTCCTGAGCTTCATGAGTCTTCTCCAAATCCAACTTCCTGTCCTTTGAAAATCATATGACCAGAAATGTCTTCCGTTTAAAATCATCTTCTCTATCCAAGCAACCCATAGGGATCCATTGTTTGCAAATAAAAGCCAAATAAGCTTTAACCCGAAAACTTGGTTCATATCATGAATATTGCGCAGCCCTAGCCCACCTTCTTGTTTAGGAGTACAAACTGAATCCCAAGCAACTTTTGCTCCACGAGCTGAATTTGACTTACCACTCCAAAGGAATGCATTACAAATTTTCCCGAGAGCATTAAGACACCCTTTTGGCAAGGGAAAAACGGAAGCCCAAAAATTTATGATGCTGTAGATAACCGACTGAATTAGTTGTAACCTCCCTGCAAAAGACAGATGCCTAGAAGTCCAAGATGATATACGGGCTAAGACTTTATCAACTAACACCTGATAATCTTGCGGCCTAAGCTTATGAGGCATCAAAGGAAGTCCCAAATATCTCACGGGCAGGGATCCTTGAAGCAAACCATGTCTTGTAGCTAAGTCACGAGCATAAACTAAGTTGTTTCCATCTAGGAATAAGCAAGACTTTCGGAGATTTAGTCCTACTCCAGAGGCCCGATGAAAAGAGGATAAAGGCCTATATTCAATGCCACTCTGACAACATAAAGGTCTCTCATAAAGTCATATAAACATCAAAACTAATTCCTTTAATAACTTGTGATTTAACAATAGTTGTTCAAATGTCCCCTACGTACAGAATTACATTTTTTCAGCTAATTATTCAGCAGTCACGTCCCAAACTTCAACTAAACCACTAGTTTATCCTATAGGGTAACGACATTTTGTTGTGATGATAATATTAATAATACTTCCGGTTAACGTATAAAAATGTATGGTTGATTGTGATGATTTCGAGTTAACTGAGTAACTGACTCAATGATTCGCCAATTATAAAATAATACTCTCATCGTACGGCGTTTTGAATCTAGCTAGAGTTCATTGTTTGAGTTTGAATACTCATTGCATGGTACGGCGTTTGTTTATTTATGATCGACCACACTACTCCTATGTGCATGTAATTATCTCACTTTTAATGATTTCTTTGTTCTTATAATTCACTTTTGATTATTTTTAATCCTTATAATTCATGTTTTGTTTTCAAAATGATATGATCCACCCGTTACCCCCTGTGCATCTAATTAATTACCCTACTTAATGATTCCATTATTCAAACCCTATAGTTTGGCTTACATTTTGATTTATAAAAAATTATATAAAAATAGAAGAAGATAATTTAGCAATAAAGGGAATAAGCATATATATCCAACCTCACTCTAAAATACTATTTTAGAGTAAAATCATATATATATATATATATATATATCCCAAATTTAAAGTAAAATCTTCATCCAATTCTACTCTCTTTTTTGTTTCCACTCTAAAATGAAGTTATGACCAATAATAGTACTAGTCAATAGAAAGCGTAATTACTCACTAGTATATATATGCATCATTGTATTATGAAGAGTTGTGACAGAGAAACTGATATTTGTTTTTGTTTTTGTTTTGGTGCATGCTATCTACTAAAACATAGTAATAAAGCAAAGAAAGATTGAATTTCTAATTATGTGGTTGAATTAAAAGGTTTCGATCGGTTCGGCTGTCAACAGTAGAGCCATTAAACTTTTCCTAGGAAGAAAAATCAACCTCGAAGATATGTAAGAGTCCACCATCCGTATGGTGACACGTGAAATCAAAAAGACGTGTATTTATCAGATGACCGTTGCCTCTTTGACCCTTACTGTATAAGTTACGTTCTTCTTTATAATTCGTATCTTCTTCTTCTTCTTCTTCTTCTATATATATATATATCGGAGCCAGGTGTGTGTTGTGGGAGGTGAGAGATATCATTTAGAACCTGTGAATCACCAGAGGTGAAGTGATATATATATTGTTAATATTTTGCATGTTAAGACTATTTTTTTTTTTTGTGAAGATACATGTCAAAACTCAAAAGGATATGAAACTGCTAATTTCTAAGTCAAACCTATAGATATATATATATATATATATAATTATTATTATTATTTTCATTTTCATTCTAGTGGATCTAGATTAGATGTACGATGACGCTTTCTAATCAATGGAGTTAATTGCATTGAAAGAATTAGATTCTTATTTTATTTTATTTTTACATCTACAACTTCAGATTTATCTAATTTGTCGACATAAAAAGATTTGTTTTTTTACTTTATGCTTGATTTGTGCATTGTTATGTTTCTCTAATTGTGGTGGGAGATGTGAGATAGGAACATTCGCTTTTTCCTTAGAAAGCAAAGAAAACTGGTTTTGCTGCTAAAAGGCTATATAAGTTTATTCTCGATCTATGCTTCTTATACATGAGTGATAATATGATATATATAGCTTCCTTTTTTGTGTGGTTAGGTCAGAAACAAAGGCTAATAAAGTCTGAGCTGTGAGTAGCAAGTTTTGTGAGTCTTCGTGCGATTTGGTATATGGAGGAAGAAAGAGTACTGGAAGGCTCCAAGCGGCCATTTCAAGGTATCCTAGGAGATCTCAGAGGGAGAGCCTTGTGTTACAAGCAAGATTGGGTCTCTGGCCTCCGTTCTGGTTTTGGGTACCTTCAAACACACATTCAACACTTAGAGCATTGTGTCAAAGACGAACATACGTTGTGACTATTTCTTTTTGAGAGGTTTTTGCAGGATTTTAGCACCGACAACATATATTTTCTTCGCCTCTGCCCTTCCTGTCATCGCCTTCGGCGAACAACTCAGCCACGACACAGGTCCTTATTTTAACTTTTTTTCCACGGTTTCTGTGAGTATTGCACAAGCACGCACGTGTTGATCTTGTTTTCATTTATGAGTTATCTGAATTATTCAAATTTTGGGAGAGTTTTATAGAGGGATCGTTGAGCACCGTGGAAACGTTAGCATCAACACCCCTATGTGGAGTGATACACTCGATATTGGGAGGACAACCATTGTTGATACTTGGAGTTGCAGAACCAACTGTCTTAATGTACAAATACTTGTACGACTTCGCTAAAGGAAGACCAGAATTGGGCAAACAACTCTACTTAGCTTGGGTTGCTTGGTAATTACTCCAAGACCCTAAAAAAACAAAAGTGGTGTATAGATGTTTTCCTGTTAAGTAATAGTGTTTTGCTGGCTGCTAAACTAAAGGGTTTGTGTGTGGACGGCTTTGTTACTGTTCCTAATGGCGATATTCAACATGGCTTATATCATCAACCGGTTCACGAGGATCGCTGGTGAGCTGTTTGGTATATTGATAGCTGTTCTGTTCCTTCAACAAACCATAAAGGTATCATCAATACCAAAAAAAACTCAACCACCTCTCAATTCTTATGATAGGTCAAAAGTTATTTTGTCTTTCAATTGAAATTGGTAGGGAATGGTGAGGGAATTTAGGATTCCAAAAGGTGAAGACTCAAAGCTTGAAAAGTATCAGTTTGAGTGGCTCTACACAAACGGACTTCTCGGCCTTATATTCACCGTCGGCCTTGTCTACACCGCTTTGAAGAGCCGGAAAGCAAGGTCTTGGCGATACGGAACAGGTAAGAGAGATTTATTCTCTTTCAGTGGTCATTCTTCTGTAGAAACAAAGCTGCAAGGCCTTCAAAATATGAATCTTTTGTGTAAAGGATGGTTCCGAAGCTTCATCGCAGACTATGGAGTTCCATTGATGGTTGTGGTTTGGACAGCATTGTCTTTCAGTACGCCATCAAAACTACCCTCTGGTGTCCCGAGAAGACTCGTTAGTCCTCTTCCATGGGACTCTGTTTCTTTGACCCATTGGACTGTTATCAAGGTTACAACACAACTACATCTAAGATCTTGGTTCATCGTCCGAACCTCTCTAAGATCCTCGTCTTTGTTCTTTACAGGACATGGGGAAAGTCTCTCCGGGCTACATTTTTGCTGCGTTTGTACCCGCATTGATGATCGCAGGTCTCTACTTCTTCGACCACAGTGTTGTCTCGCAGCTCGCACAGCAGAAGGAGTTCAACCTCAAGAACCCTTCTGCATACCACTACGACATTCTCTTATTAGGTTTCATGGTAATCAGTCAAACTCTGTTTCTTTCTCTGCAAGCTAGCTCACATTAACTCTCGCTGGCTAAAACCTCCAGTACTTTGTTTTTTCTTAGGTGCTGATCTGTGGATTACTCGGTCTTCCTCCTTCCAATGGAGTCCTCCCACAATCTCCTATGCACACCAAAAGCCTTGCTGTTCTAAGACGACAGGTCTAGTTAATACTCATTTAACTAGCACTCAAGATTCAGATTAAGATGATCTTGATGAAACTTGGTGGTTTCTATACAGTTAATGCGGAGAAAGATGGTGATGACAGCCAAAGAAAGCATCAGACAGAGAGCAACGTCCTCACAGGTGTACGAGGACATGCAACAAGTCTTCATAGAAATGGACAAAAGCCCACTTGTAAGCAGTACTAGTCTAGTAGGCTCATAATTAGGTGTTCCGTGGGTTTTCAAATTGTAAGCTCTTATTTGAATATATAGGCTGAGACAAACACAATACTGGTAAATGAGCTGCAAGATCTGAAAGAAGCAATGATGAAGAAGAATGAAGACGGTGGAGATAGCAGCGATGAGAGTGGTTTCGATCCAGAGAAGCACCTTGATGCTTACTTGCCTGTTCGAGTCAACGAGCAGAGAGTGAGCAACCTGTTGCAATCATTGCTAGTGATAGGTGCAGTGTTTGCTATACCGGCTATTAAGCTCATACCAACTTCACTTCTCTGGGGATATTTCGCTTACATGGCCATCGACAGCCTCCCAGACAATCAGTTCTTCGAACGGACAGTACTTCTCTTCGTCCCACCAAGCCGGAGATTCAAGTGTGTGCTCTGAAAATACTCTGTTACAATTTTTTGTCATATTTCTTTCAAAGACTAATCATGTGATTGTTGCTGTTAGGGTTTTGGAGGGAGCACATGCATCTTTCGTGGAGACAGTTCCATACAAGTCAATAGCTGCATTCACAATGTTTCAGATATTCTACTTTGGGCTATGCTACGGAGTGACGTGGATTCCGGTGGCCGGAATCATGTTCCCGGTTCTTTTCTTCCTCTTGATAGCAATCAGACAGTACCTTCTCCCCAAGCTCTTTAAACCAGCCCATCTCCGAGAACTCGATGCCGCAGAGTATGAAGAGATCCCTGGAACTTCAAGAAACCCGCTTGAACTGTCTTTCAGGGTGAGTCAATGATGTACATTCTTGTCATTTAAGGCATCTAGAGTATTTTAAATATTGTTTTAACCTTGCTTTAAAGTCTACTAATTCGACGAGAGGCGTCCAAGAGTGTGATGCTGAGATTCTAGACGAGTTAACGACGAGCAGAGGTGAGCTCAAAGTCCGTACGCTCGGTCATAACGAAGACAAAGGCCACCAGGTTTAATTCCTTTTTTTTTGTCGAGTTGATGATCTTAAGTTTGTAAAAAGAATTTTATAGACTTATGTTAACCTGCAGATTTATCCCAAGGAGATAGTAGAAGTTGGGGATGGGGACATGAGTACTTCCAGAGAGTGATCTATCAACAATAACAATTAAAACCATTTTTGCAAGTGAAGATGATCATGATCGTTGTCATGTGCAAAACCTTTTTAGTATTGTAGATCAAAACACAGATGATATTTGGCTTTTATTTCCCTAAATAAACCCAAGATGATTTGTTCCCCAACCAAGAAATTATAGATCATTTTTAAAAAGTAATGGTTATAAAAAATTCAAATTCTTTTAACCAGCTGATCAGGAACTGAAAAAAAAAATATTAAATGAACGAAAACGTTACAGAGCGATTCATTCCTTTAATTTATAATAAGAGGGATATATGTTAGTGAACTAAAAAAAATTATTAGTATAAAATATGCAACTCAGAAGACGACATTATTAAAAAAAATTATTGTAAATTGTATACTAACAAGGATGCTTCTTTAAAATAAAATAAAATAAAAACTGATTTCAGTTATTTATTAATTAAGGAAAGATTACATTTTTAGAAGGAATACATAACATATTCTTTAACATATTCTTTAACTAGTAAACTTTGACCTGAGCATGTTGATTGTTTTACTATCTGCTTTGAACGCCTTCATCAACACTGCGTTTGGGATCGCAGGTTTGGTAGCAAACAGAGTGTTAGGCAGAACAACCTCACTAGGCAAGTCGTCAGCAACCACCGTCAAGAGACGCGATTGAGTTTTCCCAACATTCCCCTCGTAATGGATGAGTCCCGGAGGAATCACAAACATATCACCGGGTCCAATAACCTTCTGGAACAACGTGTAGTTAGTCGTCAAGAACCCAACCAAGACCGAGCCTTCGATCACGACCCCTGCCTCGGTAGCACCGGGGTGCGAGTGAGGTGGGTTGTATCCTCCAGGCGCTATTTCAACGTTGTACATGGATATTCCCATAGTGTTTAGGCCTGGAAAGGTCATGAGGTTGGCTGAGTTAGCGGCAGTACCTTTTGGGTTCGAGGTGTTTAAAGGAGTGTTCAAGCCGGAGTAGAAGAAGTCTTCAGAGGTGACTTGTGCTTTGCAGGGGTAGCCACTGTTGGTTGGGGAAGCTTGGAGATCAGCTACACAGAAGTCTTGTAAGGGGTTACGGTTTATGGATGAGAGAGTAGGGTTCGTGAAGAGAGTAATGAGGGATGCAAGGAGGATGAAAACTCGCGAGATTTGTGAAATGTGATCCATTGCTAGCTAGGGATCGTTAGATGATGAGGATGATGTTTGATGTTAGATCACGATGTAAATTGTTACATTATATAGCGTTGGAAATTGGGTGTTTTTGGATCGACTCTATAGCTTTCATTGGATAAGAATATGATGGCTTAAAGGGAAACACATGAAAGATTTAATCTTTATGGATGTTGGGTTCAAGTGTGTGAAATTCTTTTAAGGCAAAGCATATATGGCTAGGCTAGTACAAATTAGGTTCAAAAATAAATCGTAACTCACTGAGACCTAGTTGCTAGAGCTATGATATTGTCTGAAATAAGTTAGGTACAATTATATAAACCCTGACACCATGAGTTTTTTTTTTCTATAAAAATTCAAATGTAAATGCTTAAATTTAACTATAAGCTAAAATGGTTAATTATTTATTAATAAACACATAGTATTTTAGTTTTTGAATCATAAACGAGAATATATATTTTTCTTATGTTTGCATTTTCGTTTAAAATTAATTTGTAAGAAATAGAGTCCTGGAGGTTTTTCATTCAAATATTAATACAGTCTCACAGAAAAACAAATTAAAAAGAAAGCCTCATGCATCAAACCTCTAATCCTAAACGAAATAATTCGTTTGCGTTCAGTGTTAACATATAAACTAATCAGAATGTTAATTAACAATGAAATATGTTATAGTACCTGTATGAAAAAAAATGAAAATATTGTAGACAAAATCAATTACATCTAAATACAAACTCAAATTGGTATACCTATTGAAACTACAAAACAATTAAGAAGAAAACTTCAAATCTAATACAAGCGGAGAAAGAAGCATTTTAAAGGTTGGGTTTTTGAATGGAGCAAACTGAAACATTTTTAGTGAGAAAGAATAAAATAAAATGTTTTCAGAGTTGAGACAAGGCGTGGGAGCTTTCTTGTTCTCTAAGAAACAATAAAAGATGTATTACAAGTTCGTGGATTCTGAAGGCATAGCAACAAAACTACGAAGCATGTGCAAGTTTTGAGATATCTGCAATAGCATTGCTTCTCCTTCACTAATATCCAAAACATCAGCAATATGCTTTAACAGTTCACCATTTGACTGAAGAGCACTTAGCCTCTCTGTGATCTCTGAAAGCTCTTTCATTATCCCTTCTTTGCTTTCATTCTCTGACCAATTTCATCACAACAACACAAGATAAGAAAGTTTTATTATTTTCATTTTTATCAGATAAAACACACACAGATTGATCAAACCTCGAGTAAAAACGTACTCATACCTCTTTCTTCATCTTTAGAGACATCATTTTCTGCTTCTGTATGTTTCGTTTGTGCGAAACATCCTGATTCTTCGGATTTAATAGACTCCTTTTGATCGACGCTTTCGCCATTCTCCTCCTGATTCGAAGAACAGACCGCCAAATCCGATACTGATTTAGTTTCTTGGTGATCATCATCTGCACTGGCATTGCCGTTTCGTTCAAGAAACTCTTCTCTTGCATCGTCTTCATCTGTCAAACATCCATATTTCTCTCTGTAAGCCTCAAATTCAGCTTCAAGCTCCTTCATTTCCTCCTCCCTCTTTGCCAATTCGCTACTCATCGACTGCAAAGCTTCTTGGTCATACTCTGCTTGTTCGTCCATCATTCTTTGGTACTGCAAAGCTTCCATTTGAACAGCAGCCTTCTCGGCTTGAAGCCTCGTGATCATAGCCATCGCTTCGTTGGCAGCAACAGCTGAAGCACTTCTCTCTTCATCTAACTCCATATACAAATCAATGAGTGACTTCTTGTCCAAGCGAACCTCTTTCTTAAGCTGATGAAGGATGGAATCACCGTTTGGATCTGCCGTGTCCGAAGTATTCTCCGTCTTCTCCAAAAGGGGTTTCTTAAGTGATCGAACGGACCATCGTGGACTGTTTTGCGCCGAATCGGACAGAGGGATCCCGAAGAACTTGTTGCCTCCTCTAACAAAACTTGGTGTTCTGTCCATATCCAGATCCTTAAACTCAGATTCGTTTTCAGACTGTTTATTGTTGGACACCCTAGGGGAAGGAGCGGGAGCCAGGAAAGAATTGTTGTTCTTAGGTAACTTCTCAGATTTCATCTTCAATAGTTCTCCACAACACGAACAATGTTGCTTCAAGCTATCATTCTTAATGTTGTTGTTGTTGTTATTAGTCTTGTGATCTACAAGATTTTTTGTTGACTGAACAAAATTGTCGTCTTTCTTGAACGCCAAGGGAAGGTCTCGTTCATCATCAATGAGAAGCTCGAGATCTTTGTGTAAGATTCCGATGAGAGACTTATAAGTATCACAGTCAGAGTCTTTCTCGGTGGCGAAAGAGAGAAGACATCCTTCACACATATGTTTGATCTCGGAGAGCTTCTTATGGACATGGCAATAAGCGAGAGAAGAGATTTTCTTCTTGTGAGAGTCGCAGATTGACTCGTTGTAATACGATTGAGGGTCTCTAGGGACGAGAATGTGGTCGACTCTCGTGCAGAGAAGACAAGGAATGTTTAGGTCGAAGAATTTGGCGAATTGGTTTGATAGAAAGGCGATAAGGCCATCGATGAAGAGGATGATGATGAGGCTCCATTCAAGAACAGTGTAGATGAGGAAATGAGGAAGAGATCCGAGTTCTTGTTCCACGAACTTCTTAAAAGAACGTTTAGACATGGTGGCTTGTAAAAGCAGAAACAAGAACAAGAAAAAACAGAGCAATTGTATAAACATATGAGATCAAATTGGTCAAAGATCAACAAAAAACAGAGATCATGATCAAGAAAAAAAAAACAGAGCAATTGTGATGATGATCTTTGTTCCTATTTCTGGGGTTTTGTGAGTCTAATACAGACTAGATTAGACTGGAATTTGAGGAGAGAAAGTACCCAAAAACAAAGGATTATCGCAGATTTGAAATTGACAAATTTAGAAATAATGTCAAGGCAAGAGATGTACAAACAAGAACAACAGATATACGACTCGTGTAAATTTTTCCCGCTTAGACGTGAGGAGAACTTTGTCGTTGACGCTGAAACTGAATACAACCATACACGACGAGAACAGAGGACATGCCAACAAAGACATGACATATCTATCATAATATATATGATTCTGTTTCATTGGTTGATTAATAATAAAATGGGGATCATGCATGTTCTGTGATTGGAAGATTATTGCTTACGAAACAGGTAATGTACCTAATCATCCCACACTAAACATATGAAAAAGAATCTGGATTTTGATTGGAAAAGAAAAAGCTCCACTATAATGGAAGTGACCAATAAAATGTGACATTATTGGCATAATTAAAGATGATAGACATTATTCTACAAAACACTACAATATCTTATCCTTGGATATCAGCTGATATATTATAAAAACCCTAAAACCCCATAAATCACCAAACATGATTGAGATAGCCCACATGAGAAGCAAGTACGGCTATGTTTAAGATTGAGAGATCATGAATAAAAACATAACGTTAATATGATATACATATATAAGTTTTGATAGCTCCACACAAATGAACTTAGAGAGTATTACAACAACTTCCAAACATGGAAGGAAAAAAAAAAGGATGATCATGAACCCTTAAAAAACACTCACTTAAGTCCTATCTCCAATCTCTGTTTATTATTCATTCTTTTCCCCATATTTTGTAGCCAAATACATGATTTTGACGAATTTTTATAACAAAGTCAAGACCTATCTGTACAACAAAGAAACAAACAGGGTGTTTTGCAGATGTTTCACCTTTCGGATATGCTCTAAGCGACTCCAATCGTGTTGAACGCTGAATGCATTGAAGAAGATGGCTCTTTCAGATTAGATGAAGCTAGTGAGAGGTTGAGGGAGAGCGGTGCAGGCCTTGCTTGAAAGGTCGATGGAACCAAACCGATGAGATTCGAGGAAGCAAACTGTCCGAATAATTGATTCCCTGTTGCATCACCACCAGATGTTGGTACAGGGAACTCAGGATAGACTTGCATAACTGGATGTACAGAGAAGTTGTTGATTTCTGGTACAAGAGAAGATGATTGTGATGTGTTCTCCTGCATAACCACTTGATCATCTTCCATGGGCATGACCTGATAACAAGACCAACTGGTTATACTAAAGTTTTCACTAACCAACAATCACCAAAGGTTCTCTAAATCCAGACTGCTTATAGGGGCTTAATCACTAAAGTGACAAGAGGATTAGAGATTCACCGTGTCAGTAGTCATGTCAAAAAGGCTAGATCTTCTCCTGCGACGGTTGAGATTGCTACGCCGGAGGAAGTATTTCTGAGCGTGACTAGCTACTTGTGTAGAGGTCCTGCTCTTGACAAAGTTTTTGGAGATTCCTTTCCAATCACCTTTCCCTACTCTCTGCAACCCAAGCAAGAACAGCTTGTGTTCTTCCTCAGTCCATGGTACTCCTGAAAACATAAGAAAGACAAGATATTTAGCCATCTTTCAGTTAAAGTCCCATTTCTCCAAACCATATCTTCAAGAACACCAAACAAGTAAAAGATTTTTCACCCCAAATCACATAATCAGCCAAAAGCAAATACAAATATTCAAATTGGAAAAGGTCAAAGTGATCAACTTTATCGAAAGATTAAAAAAAAAACAGTAACATCAATAGAGAATCGAAGAGTACCTCGTTTCCTCTCGGTCTTGCCGTTGGAAGAAGACATCGGAACAGCTTCATCCGCCGAGGCATAACCAGCGGGGGTTTTGGTCTTATCTTGTCCATCTCTATCCTCGCCGTCGATCTTCGGACTCTCGTCCGTCTGCTCATACTCAGACAAATTGTTCAAACTCACGCACTTTCTCATCGGATCAAGCACAACCCTGACGCCGAACAGCATAATCTCTCTTCTTACGCCGCTGCCACCGCCGCACGCGTTGGTCGACTCCGAAGAACTAGTACTACCGTCGGCCATAATAATAATTCCGATATTGCCCTTTGCGCTTTCTCCTTTTGAGGAATCAAAAGTACAGAAGCAAATGGCAATGGAGTGGTGTGAGTTTGAGATCTGAGCTTCTTCGGGTTTTTTATAAAGCCAAAAGCCACGTGGGTTCTGTCTTAAACAATTACATGTTGTAGTTGCTGGTGATTGTGTCTTATGACACGTGTCTTGTTTATATTCGTCTGTTCTTGTCTCTTTTTCTTACCTGCCTGTCTCTTTACACAGTTTTCCATTTGGATAGACTTTTTATATTTCATTGGCTGACTAGACAAATTTTATTTTTATTAGGTCTCGCCCTATAGTCTTTTTTTTTTTTGTCGTCTGAAATTTTATTAATCCTTGTGGTGGAACCAAAGGTGAAATACAACGCCCAAAAGAGGGAAACATAAGCCGGCGCACGATGAATATGTCCCCAGAGTCATTAAGCCCTATGAAAGGGAGTCTAAAGATAAAAAGATACAAAACAGAAAATTTGCAACCTAAACGAAAGGAGTCAAAACCTTAAGCTAAAAACATAAGAAACCGGCCACAAATACCTTAAGATAAACAATAGAACCAAGAGCACAAAGCACTTCTTTTTCTGAGACAAGTGAGAGAGATTTACCAAGGATGCCCGCGGCCAAACCGAAGATAACAACAACCACCTCCCATCACAAAGAGAGCCAATCTCTCGAAACCAAAGACTTCAAAACCCGACAAGCACATAGCTTTCGGAAGCGACGACGACGTTGGTACGTCAAGAAACGTCGAACTAGAAGCCACCAAACGCGAATAGATCTCAACAAATCTCGAAAGCCAACAAGTCTCGCTTTATAGTCTATACCATTTTTTGTTACATTTATGAAAAATTTATCTTATGGGATAGCAATTAAAAGAACGAGTTGAATATATGTTACCCTATAAGAAGTTAAAAAGTACGCATGTCTCGAAAAAAACGTTTAATTACTTTCGTAAAATTAAAAGTTTCAATAAGAAAAACGAATGAGGAAAATACCTAATAATTTATGGAGAAAGGGGTTTATATGAAGTGAAATAGACGCTTTTATCAGGGTTTATATAAATAATGTATTTAAACGAATCTGGTCAACTCAATGTCCTTGAGGGGAATGCAACTTGATCTTAGAAAAATAGTCAGCTTCTGAAATGATTCTCTACTCTCTACTATATAAATATACATTAGTATTACAGCTCCATCCTTGTACTTTTTTTGGAAAAAAAAAACTATATCTTCTTGTCGATCCTACAATATCATGAGTATATTATTATCTAAAATATCTTGGAGACAGGTGAATCCTTTTTGGAAATTATAAGTTCGAATTTCAACACAAGAAAAACTTACAATATCAGGAAACTAGCTAATAGCGTAGTCGTGTTATATAGGCTTATAGCTAATGAAGACCACCAAGCTTTAAGCCGTTGGTAGGACATTATCCTGCTACAAACATAAACATAATCATACGTCCATATTTGATGATCGCAACTATAACATTAATGAAAAAGGTAATAAGTTTTTAGTAGAACGTTAGGATCTGATTTTACTACTATAAGCAAAGTGATCACATTATTGTAGAGATTTATAGGTAAAAGTTTGTAATAAATAAAAGCACATATATAATTTGGTAAAATAGTTTTGGAAGACAGCAAAAACCACACAAGGCACTAACACCGGTTAGAAAGCAAAGCCACCATTACTTTTTTATGCACAAAGTGGAATACTAAAGTGTAATGTGTGAAGCACTAGAGGAAGACCCTTTCTTTCTCTTTTATTTATTTATTTTCTTCTTCTCTTTTTACCAATTTGGATGAGAGGTTTGTTGTGACTTTCCTAAATCAGAAAACAAACACAAATCTGAGGGGGATAGAGGGAAGAAAGGATGAATCAGGCCGAAGAAGGAATCTTGCGCAACAACTAGTGTTTTCTTTATTATGGGTGGAGTAGTTGTGTTGAAGTTGATTTTCAGATCATTGGGTGGGTCATTTTGCTAAGTATACTACTAGAGTTAGATATCCAGATAGAGACAGATCATCACATGAGGTCACACACTCACACCCAAAAACTAGAGCTTATCTTGATTGATAGATTCTGCACTTGTAGTTGTAACTAGAGCATCGATCTTATACAAGTATTTAGCTTCATGGTCATCGGAAAGAGACAGTTGAATGAAAACACATCGTAAAATCTATGGCTGCAAAATCATGGTTCTTAACCATTCCATCAAAAGACTTAGCTGGCTACTTACTTGACGCTTCGAAGCTATGCTTCTGCATATAAACTAAGATCACCATTCATCTCCTTCTCCAGATTCTTCAGTCTAACATAGGCTGACACTACTGCTTCTGCTTGACACCACAACATAGTTATCTTGGACATGGGAGTACTAGTGAATGAGTGTTAGAGACCATAAGCGCACAGTTTTTCATCAACTAGTCTTGGATGGAGGAAGCAGAAGAGACCTTTGATTGCTGGTCTTGGCAACACAAATTACGCACACCTATTAAGCTGTGCTTCCTGCTAGTTCTTTTTTCACCCGGGTTCTTCGTTGCGTAGGGTTACCACTGTCACTGTGGTTTGTGTCCTTGCTTGTAGAAGTTCTTGTACCAGCAGCAAAAACTGGCGAATTTGTTAAAGCGACTAGGTTTTTATCTTGGGACTCTTCTGAAGTTGGTTCTTTTGTTGACAGTAACTGCTTGAGCTGAGATCGTTGGCACATAATGCGACCTCCATTCCATCCCGTGAAGGAAAATGATGACGAGACATGATCCTGCAAGAAAGAGAAAGCAGCTTTCGCGATGGGAGATTCTCTTGCAGCAGAGCTTTTCTCCAGTTGTCCCCGTCTGAGACGTTAAAAAGAAAGATCAAAAAAGGCAAAAGACACAAACACTTAAAGCTTGGAAGCATCCTGTAATGAGCTACCCAGCATCAAAATACTTACACTGAAACAACAACTGCTAGCTGAGGAAGATCCTCTCCCGTTAAAAACATATCATTCATATCATTTAGCCACACCGATAGTGCTGTGTACATACCACCTTCTGACATCCTGCAGAACATTAAAAACAAAAAATTAGATTGACTGGTACTCAACCATTTCATAGACTTGAAATGAAGCCAGCGTAGGGCTCTTGAGCTACCTATGCACATCCACAGACCACACGAGCTTGTTTTTCCGGAATAACTCAGGGAAAAGACCACGTTTTGTTGCCTCATTGAGTACCCTTGCAGCTCGCTCTTTCTGGCCCAGCCACCACAAAGCATCCAGAAGTGCATTGTAAAACCTTATTCCCAAACCACATCCTTCTGAGTTAAGTTTGTCCAACACATATTCTACTATCTGCCAATTTGAGTCATCATCATAATCTCCCTTGATCATTTGCCCAATAACTTGATGAATATTTGATACTCTATTTGAAAGCATCTCCTCCAGTAACTCATTGACATCGTCCCACCTAAGAACATAAAAATTGAAGTGTAACTATAAACTGAAGAAGTATTATGTAAAAAAATGGCTTGATGTGCTACTTATCCAGAAAGCTCAAGTTAGTAAAATTAGCAAGGGTGCTACATTACACTAGCATATATCTCCCATGCCTGATCAAGTAAGAACACAAGGGAGCAAAAAGAGCAAAATGCTATGAAGATTTCAGGCTTAGTAAGGTACGAGCTATAAAAATACACGCAAAAGAAAACATAAGACAAAGTGTATTACTGGTGAAGGCACTAACCTCTCCGTCTTTCCATAAACAGCTAGCATCATACAGTAGCACATGATACTGGGAAGAATATCAGAAGCTTTCATCTCCTCAAACTGCTCCCTGCACTCATCGACAAGTCGTGCAAAAGAATACACACTTAAAACAGCCTCAAGCGTCCTTTCATCAGGATCACATCTAGACTTCTCCATATCTACATATGTCTTCACAGCCTCTTCAAATCTGCCTCCTTGTTTATAGGCTTCTATTTGTGCATTGAAAGTATCTCTGTTCCTGGGAATACCAGAATCCACCAACCTGGACAAAATCGCCTCAGACTCCTTGACCAGTCCTCCCCTTGCAAAAGAATATAACAGTGAGTGGTATGTTTCAATACTTGGATTGCTTCCTACTTCATGCATGGTATTAAAAGCAACAAGTGCTTCTTCATATAAAGCAGCCTGCCCAAATGCTTCGATAACCCCAGTGTAGGCCTTGGAACTTGGCACGATATCGTTAGCTGTCATGTATTGTAAAATCTTCCTAGCATCTTCTTGAAGTCCTCCCTTCCCACAAGCAAATATTATACCCTCATATGTCTCCATGTCAGGTTCAATATTCTCCTCCACCATGTCATGGAACAAAGTAACCACCTCCTTGAAATACCCACCTTCCCCAAAAACCTCAATCAAAATGTTGTATGTAGCAGCATCAGGATCTGTATTGCTTGATTTCATCTCGAGAAAAAGCTGCCGAACATCATCGTATCTCCCACTCTGTCCAAACAAATTCAGCAAAACACTATATGTATTAGCATTCGGCGTACACCCTGCAGCCTGCATCTGATGGAAGACCCCCATTGACTCCTTAATAGACCCTGACTTCGCATATGCCTCTAACAAGACGTTATAAGAAGTGATATCGGGCAAACTGCCCCCGGAAGCCATCTCACTCAAAAGATCAGACACTTTTTCCAGCCGGCCCAACTTCCCAAAAGTCTCGACGAGATGACTGTAAGTGGTTAGATCCGGAACAATCCCACCATCATTCATGGTCCTAAAAACCATCTCAGCCTCATCACCTAAACCTCGAATGGCACAAGCACTAAGCAATGTGTTATAGGTGACAATATCGGACTGTATCCCCTCATGTCTCATCTCTGCAAACAAACCCAATAAACCCTCCCAATCTAAGCCACCTCTAGCACAGGCGTTAATCACTGTGTTGTAAGTCAAAATACTAGGCGATATCTTTTCATTCTTCATCCTATCAAGAAGCTCAAGAGAGGTCTCATACCGTCCATTTCGACCATAAGCATTGATCAGAGCCGTGTAAGAGAAGACGCTGCGTGACACGCCTTGACCTGGCATTTCATCGAATACCTCGAGGCATTTGTCTAGTAGACCTTCCCTGCCAAGCAAAGAAATCATAATGGTGTAGATGTGCTCGTTAGGTTTGCACCATATCTGCCGTTGCATATACTTGAAGAGACGAAGCGACCTCTGCCAATCGCTACGACCAGCGAACTCTTTGAACACGAGCGCGAAATCGTTCAACGAGAGCTTGTTCTTGAATATGTCTAAGCACCTCGCAATACTGCCGCGAGGGGGAAGGCTGCTCAACTTGTTAATCAGCGACTCAACGTCGTAGCTGTACTTACCTTTCTCCACCGATACGGAAGGATTTCCCAGAACGAGATCCTTCGTCTTCGCCTTGATTTTACCGGCGACGGAGCATGGTCTGCGGTTTCCTCCCGAAAGGAAACGGAGACGGTTGCCGTCGGCGAATCTCCGGTTACCGAAGAAACTCGAATTCTGGATAAGGAACGAGAGCTGGTGTGAGTTGGGATTCGGAATTGCTAAATTCATATTGGTAAACTAGAGTTCCAACATAAAAGGACTCAGAAATCCTCCGGGAAGTTCTTCAACAGCTACAAGATTTTCTCGGGAAAATAGCAATTCGATTTGAACTGACTCAGAGATTTTAAAATTAACCGCCACCAAGCTATAGAAGGAAGACGCAGAAACGAATTAGATGAATATTTTCGAAGTGGAGACTTTTTGATTATCTCACCCAGTAGCTCTCTCTCTCGGTGAAATGGCGGAAAAATGGAAGAAGAGGGAAACGCTTGAAGAAGAAGACACGTGGATTCTTATTGTGGATAACAGTCGCGAGGAACCAACCGGTTTAATGAATACTTCCCGGTTTGACTAGTTAACTCGATATTTTTCGGTCTAACAGTTTTGGCGCCTAATCTTGCAAGAAATAGTAGTGTATTGGTGAACTCGGAAATACAATTACAGATCATATTTTCTGATGATATGATTAAATTAGTAGTTCTAGTGTAAATGCATTTTTCTGGGAGGTCCAAGTCATCATCATCATATAACATCTTATTAAGTTTGGTTTAATCCCATGAGCTAACCAATTAGCGTCTACCAAACTTTTGAACAGTGAAATTGGTACGATTGTTTTTTTTTTTTTTTTAGGGTGGGTAAAAAACTAAAAACTAGCCTAGGCCTATGATAAGTCTAGTGACTCAAAAAAATAAAGGTGTAGTTTTATTAAATTTTTTTAAAGGCAAAAGCAATTACGGAGTGACGCAAAAAACGGGAAACCGCACCGCCGTTTGGAAGTCTCTGAAGGTGCGGAGGCTGACGTGACGTGTGGGTGGGTGTGGCGTTTGGGAAATAACATTGAGTTATAAGGGGTAAATAAGTAATTTTCACCTCCTTTCTGTTCCTAACAGACAGACGCTTCAAAGAGAAAACAAAAAGAACCAAAGAAAAAAAAAACAACAACCCTTTTTAGTTTTTTAGCTTATTCTTTCTTTCTTTCTTCTTGGCGAGTTCGCGACCTTTGGTCGGAAATTCTTAAATCGCTTCTCTGCAACCGCATTATCGGAGCTCATGGCCGACCCAGAGGTACAATTTCCTTTAAACCCCTCGATCTCCGCCTCTCACGAGTTCTTACTTTTGCGATTCTCGGGATTTTTCTTAATTTCGTTCTGTTTCTTCTAGAGCCGTGTGTTTTCTTGTATCGGATAGAATCTTGTTGCTGATTCCGTTTGATTTTGATTTAAATTTGGGTTCCGCGATGTGGGTTTTGTCTTGCTTTTCTTTTCCGATGATTTTGCGTTTTCGTTTTGTTTGGGTTATTAAACACAGACCTTAGCGGCGTTGAAGAGAGCTTACGCCGATACGATACTGAACACGACGAAGGAAGCGGCGGCGCGTGTGATGGTTTCTGAGAAGAAGGCGCGTAGGTATCAGCAAGAACTTGTTACAGTTAGAGATGATGCACTCCAAACGTTGGTTAGGCTTAAACAGATGCTTGATTCCAAGGTACTATCATTTATGTTTGATGTTTTCTAGTCTTCACATTTTTGTTCTTTGACTTCTTGTTGGTTTCATGTTTTGTGAACTTGTCCTTTCTTTGGTTTCTTGTTGTGTATGAGATAGCTTTTGAAATCAAGTTGTTGAGCATTTCTTATATGGTTTTATGCATAGTTAAGGTTGTGTGTGTGTGACTGTGAGTTTGGTATGTTCAATCTTTTGATATTTCAAGGTACCTTGAAGATATTCCGCCATTCAGATGATATAAGCTTTGGTCCCATCTTTATACACCTTTGAGCCTGAAACTAAAGTACACTGACACTTTCAGCAGATTTAGCTTACCTCTTCATTCATTGATCATTCTTCATGAAACCTAAAACTAATGAGCGTAACCAGGAGTAGCTTAGTGTCAAATATTTTTTACCTTCTAGATCAGTTTTACAACTTTTTTTTAGCGAGGCTTGCAGATATTTCTTCGCCGATGCCCTCAGATAATTGTGCAGTTTTTAAGTTAAAAGGTTTCTCAATATGGAGATATATCTATTTCTTCTTAGAGGCTTTGCTTGAGGATGAGCTTTCCCCATTGTACCATATCTTTCTTCTGTGGCTGTCTTTGCATTTGCTCCTCAGCTCTAAATTTTTTGAAAACGTCTTTATGGTTATATAGGTAAAGGAGACAGAGATAATATCCTTGAAGCAGCAACAGAAGGTTGAGGAACTGGAAGCTCAGCTTGGAGAAGCTGAAGATATTGTAGGAGAGCTGAGGGCGGAGTTGAGAGTACTTCACGATGAGCTCAAGAGACTTACGAATGGTCAGACACATCTCAAAAGTGACCATGAGGAAGACCCCCATTGGAAAAACCGTGATGCAGCAGTTTCTGTAGTGCCTGAGGTTTCTAGCAGTCATGAGAGCACAGAAGCTATAGCTTCTTGCATCCCAGTTGAACAAAGTGAATCGGTGGTGGCTAATGGGATGACTCGCATTAATAGTATCAACCGGTGTTCTTATAAAAATAACAAGGATCAGTGTCACCACTCTCTTCCTTCTATACTGACAAAACGCAGGGAAGCTGAAGGTAGCACTCAGATAATTCACGCAGTAGATAGCAGTATAGCCAATGGAGATCTGTCTTCCTCTGTAGAAGTAGGAGATGTGAATGATGGAGGTTGTCTTCACAAAGTTTCTTCGTGTAAAAGTGTAGAGACCTTAAACGAGTCTGGTTGTGCTGATGCTACTGACTCCATATCTTCTGTTAGAGATGGAGAAGCCCCAATAGTGTCTCCAAATGCTCCTCAGAAGGATGATGGCACTCCCATATTCTTGAAAACATCTCCTCTGACAATTAGCAAAACAGATGCAAGGAAGGAAGAAAAAGAGAGCTGTGAGAATATGGAGGTTTCAGCATCTCCTTTGTGCGAAGAAACTCCAGTTTTGGCACTTAATAAAAATCGGTGTATCAAGTACACGTTCAAGAGGAAGAGAAAGAAGGAGGTTTTAAGCAACCTTGAAGGAAGTTCATCGTTTGAAGAGAGCAGAAACATGAAACAGAAGACTGGGGAAAAAGACGATGTTTATTTGGATTCTCTGAAGCCTAGCTTTACCAGTGAATCATCTCGAGATGTAGTCTATGCTTAGCACAGGTGGGTTGGAAGGTTAGTAAATATCAACTTACATCTAATTTGCTATATTATGTTAAAGTTTATTAAGATTCTGGAAAACTTGTGAGAATCTAGATTGTATGTTTCCTTCTTGCGGATAAAGTATTTGGTCTGAAAACTGATATCACTAGGAGTGCCCTTTTCTTGCATTTTGGGTGTAAACTCTTGTCCATTGTGATGGGTTTATATATATGATGTCCAAGATTCTGAGTTTTCTCTGTTTCTTTATTGTATCTTACTGGGCTCAGCTAGTTGTACCATTGTCGGAGAAGAAAGACTTGCAGCAGAACTAGTCAACCATTAGGATGCTCCAGCAAAAAATGTTATTAGTGGTAAAGAATTCATCTAATATAAATATATAATACAAATATTCAAGTTAGATATGATTTTGAACCAAGTTCAAAGATATGTGATGAGGATAGATGGAAACTTCAAAACTCTAATAGTGTAAGTCAGTAAGAGTAAGACTAAGAGCTATCATTGTATTTCTTCCATTTCGTAGCTATGTAAATGATCTAACGAAGACGTTGTTGCGACTGGTCAAAGTTATTCATGGAAATTTAGACTTGCGACCATAGATCATGGACTAAACTAAGGGATGTTAGCAAGATAAATGATATTTGAGTAAATAGAGTTTTCAATCTTCTGTTTTGAAAGTTGAAGGCCGTTTCAATATAATTTAGCGGGTTTAAATAGAGTGCATTTCCTTCTATGCAACAATGATGTTTATGACTTATGAGTAAAAAGTGTAAAGACTTAGGACAATATAAAAGGAAGATCATATAAATAAAATAATTAAAGGAAAAATGATATTCTTGTAGATAGATTACAAATAATATGATTTACGTAAAAAATTATGAGTTGATGAGTTGTGTTTTGTTAAATCTTCAAAAATATTATTTCATAGTCTATATAATGGATTATTTATTTGGGAAACAATTGTTTATATGTAATTATAGATTTGCTCTTTTATCATCCAAAATACATCCTTTTTCGGTTTTCCCCTTATATTAGTTTGCTTAATTATTCAAAATGAATCCCTTTTTTCCTAATCTTGTTATGGAAAAAATCAGTATATTACCTTGTAGTCCAAGTTTGAACGATGGACCAAAGAGGCGACATGACTAAAAAGCATTCTGAAAACGACGTGGGTTTAGCCAATGAGGGGGTATATCTTCGTAAATACAGAGTTAAACCAGGGGTATATATTTCAGATTGAGATAAACCGAACCGAATATATATATATACCGCTGCTACACACACACACGCACACAAGCTTTTTGGTTCTGGGAGACTGAGAAATAGAAGGAGCGTAGCAGAGCAGTTTCCGATTTCCTTTTTCTCTCTCTCTTTCTCTCTCTCTCTCTCTTAATCCGGATTTATAAGTATTAGGGTTTCTTCTTCCTTGTAGTGACATTACTCTCTCTGTGTCGCTCTGTGTGTGTGTGTTTGCTCGGAAGATTACAATCATGGTTGCTGATTCGGTCACAGACTCTGAGCTCATTCACGGCTCTCCAGTTTCTAGAGATATCTCCATGAAACGCAAGGTTAGTTTTTTTATGCGATCGGATTCTTCCTTTGTATTTTATGCGTGATTCAAAAGAAATGTATGTAATATGCCTTTGTGATTATGGTCTCATCGATCCGAAATCACCAGTAAAAGAATCGTCTTTTTGGTTGAGGGTTGTTAATTAATCCTAAAAGTTACGTTTTTTTGTTTGTTAACATATGGATCGAATCTTTGGTTGCAGGCGAATTGGTTGTGTAAACTGAAGCAGTGGAAGATTGATGATCGTCGCAAGCAATGGATTTATCAATGTAAAGAGGCTTTGAATCTTTTTACTTTCTTGCAATCTCTTTGTGTTTTTTCAACTTTCTTGTTTAATCTTTCGAGTACGTTGGTGATGAATTGTTTGTGAATTATTGTATAGGGAAAAGAGCAAACGTAGATGAAGAAGAAATTGGCCGCAGACTCAAATCTTTGCTAAAGAAACTTACTGATAAGAAAGCTTGGAGGATTGATTACGAAGAAGGAAGCTACGGATTCACCAAATGCCATGATGTGGATGATGATGATGATGAGATTGATCTTGTCAAGACATCGTCTGCTAGGAGTCCCACGAGTGTACTCAAGAGCAAAGGTTCTGTTAGTGAAGATTGCTTCTGTTGTTCTGAGCAGATGACGACTGAGGAAGAGGACGAAGTTTTTGACGATGCTTATGACAACTGGGATGGGTTTAGAGATGCGTTAAACGCCTTTGACAATGATGAAGACGACATCCCTCAACTTGAGACAGGAGATTTAGAGCAAGAAGAAGATCTCGTTCCAAATACGAGCCAGAGAACCCCTGAGAAGCTCTTCCATAAAGACAACAAGTACAAGCATGATGCTTCTTCACATCAAAAGACGGTTCAGAGAAATAGTAAGAAGAAGAATAAGAGGTCTAACTCTGGGAATCAAGAAGGTGATGCAGAAGAATGTCCTATTTGCTCTGAGGTGATGGATGCAACGGATCTAAGTTTCCAACCATGTCCTTGTGGGTTTCGGATTTGTCTCTTCTGCCACAAGAGGATCAGTGAAAACGAAGCACGTTGTCCATCTTGCAGGGAGCAGTATGTTCAGACGAGTAATAATAGTGGAGAAGTAGGTTTCCAGCAACGTGGTCGTGGCACAATTCGCTTGTCTCCGTCGTTTAGAGGACTTGACAGAGCTTAAGAGAGAAACAAGTTCAATAGTGTCATGAATTTCTTATCCTATTTTTGCCTTAGTTCCTCAGAAACAGCAATTTTGTGGGTTTCCTAGCTTAGATTGTTGTCATCTCGGTAATAAGTTTTCATTGATGTTTGTGAATCATATACACATAAAACGAAGATTAATCTTTTACTCAATACAAAAACAGATCATTTTTCAATCTTATCAAAGAAGAGTTGGACTTCATGATGCCACAAACAAATCTCACAAGCGGATGAAGTAGTCATGTCGTTATCCTCACCATAACGATCCCTACCACAATTCTTTACAAAGAACATGTCCGTTCGACCATCACAACTGCAATTCTCACGAACATAGCTCCTTTTAAGATGTCTCATCATCGGTTCACCACACCACCACATGTCATCTCTAAATCTTTTTCCGACGTTTTTCCATTTCCTCGATCGTACTTGACATCAAAGGCTTTCTTAAAGAAGACAACACCTTAAAACCCTTTTCTTTTGTTTCGCCCCCAAGACAAATAAGGATCAATCCATAAATATATTGTGCTTCTTGATTTCCCTTGTCTGCAGCTTTTGCTATATGTTTGAGTCCTCTGTTTCGTTTATTTTCATAACTATTCCGATGAGAGTAATTGACAAGTCCTTTACGGTATATTGCCTAGGGGTTTCCATTCTTGCGACATCTCTTGAAAAAGTTGTTAAAGTTTTCACGGTTGTGAAACCATGGAAACAGAGGGATCTCATGGAGGGAAAGGCTCTGCAGAATGTTTGGATCGTTGCAGATACGTTGAAACGGTTTCGAAACTAATCGAAGATTTCGAATCTCGGATAAAGATGAAGCTGCAACACGTGAAGAGATTGCTACGAGAAGGTCTTCAGGTAGAGAATCGAGAGAAACAGAAATGGCATTTCTTTTGTGAGAATTCTTAAAAGAGGAAGAAGATGCCATGTTTGAGATACAAGGGTCTTGTCTCTCTACATTTGTTGAGTCAGCTTTTATAACAATGTTTTAGATTTCAGTTTCCTTATTTCACAAAGAAAATGTACGTTACAAAGTTAAGACAAGCTTTTTCCAAATTAGAAGATACATAATGACATTAATCATTCTGGAGAACAAAATTCAAGAACATACATATACATAATTCCCCACAGAAGTAGTAGATGTCAATGATGATTATCATGATTAGTGATGTTAATATGGGCATCCCCATTGAAACTTATTCACCAAAAATGCCTAAATGGGCATGAAACCCAATTTTATAAATGGGTACATTGTATGAAAACATACCCATTTAAACTTACTCACGGATAAAATAAATTGAGCTTAAAATAGAGTACCCCGATTAAACTTGTTTATTAAATGAATATCAATACAATTGTACAAATAAAATGGATACCCATTTAAATTATATTCATTTATACCTCTTGATTATTTTAGTGAAAAATGTTAAAGAGCTTAATAACTAAAATATCCAGCTTAAATCAGTTTTCATTGTATTTTTCACTAAAATCACAAAATCATATTTTTCGCCAAAATCACAAATCTGTATTTTTTTCACCAAAATTGTAAAACCGTGTTTTCCCGCCAAAAATGTTTATTCGTGTTTTCCCTTAAAACTTCAAGATTGCAATGGTGTAAACTTAAATTAGAGTAAATGGAGGTGTAAACTTAAATAGTTAAATATAATGGGTTTTACAAGGGTAGGTTTACCCATATTAACATGAACATCTCTGATTATTATTATTTATATGCTTGCGCCTCTATAACACAAGAACAAAAAAACTATTGAAATATGGTAGTATAAAACAGCATACATTTGTCACTGTCTCATTGATGTTGGTAAATCATATAAATAAACCAAGCTCATTTATTTAATACGTCAATAGATAATACACAACATATATTATCGAAAGTTGGACTCATGATGCCACAAACAAATCTCACAAGCAGAAGAATTAATCATGTCATTGTCCTCACCATATCGATCGTTTCAACAACAATTCTTACTATGAACATGTTGGTACGAGCATCGCAATTTCAATTCTCACGAACATAGCTTCTTTTGAGATTTCTCATCATCAGTTCTCTGTACCACGAAGTTTTCTCTCTAATATTTATCCAATGTTTTTCCATTTCCTCGACCGTACTTGACATCAAAGGTTTTCATAAGGTAAATAAGATCTTGAAACCCATTATGAGAAATGAGATGTGTGTTCTTACTCAATACATTGACCACGAGGAGAATTTGAATTACTCACCTCCATGCAACTTCCGTCTCCAAAATGGGTTGTATTCTCAGCAAGTTACGAGTTGGACTGTGTGCGGAAGACATGTTTCATTTTTTCGGTAGATGATTCTTTCTGGATGCTTCTAGACATTAATTAATATGCAACTATATATTGTATAGGTTGGTGGTGTCTAAATGATAATTGAAGTACCTACATTAAATTCTTCGAATTCAAACTTTTCCAAAGAAGTTGAAGGAAGTTGATGGAGCCTTTAGAAGATGTACCAAAGAAAGAGAAAAGTACTATTGTGACTATTGGCTCAGAATGGTGGTTGCTGAAAGAAGATGAAATAGTGGATAATAAAAGAATAGAACAAAGGGTGTGAACTGGATTGGTTAAGGAAGCCATCTACTAAGGCTGCATTCTTAAATCTTTACATTCCAGAGCAGTTTTTGTAGGTAATTTTGATCTTTTCTCAAACACTTGAAGACATGATCATGACGATGGTACTATTGTTAACGTTTATCTCAGCTTGACAGACAACCTTCATATCATTTTCATTCCAAGGGATTCTTCTTGGAAGCTTGTGGAGTTTACATTCGCTCGTAAACAAGTTTCTCAGACTGCAGGAGGAAACCAAGAAAACATTGATGACCTGACATGAAGAAAATGTTACTTATGGTCGACGTACAGAGAAATTTTGAGTACCTTGATTAACATATCTGTTGGTAGCCAAGCTGGTGCAGTCGGGATACCAACCCATCCAACCTGAAAATCTCAAAAATCACAATGCATTAGCTTATCAATCTATGACTCATGCAACAGAATAAACAATTTGTGTGGAAACTTACAAGTGCATACTCCCCTGTCTCAAAAACACGAAGGTCCAAGACCTGCAAGAAATAGATACTTGTTCGATAAGCATGTAATTCTTGTGATATTTATTCAAAATAGATCATTTGATTCGGGTTATATACCTCACCCCGGTCTTCATAGATGTAATCAAGTCCTTTGTAAAAAGGAGGATGTCCAACTGATAAGTACTGTGGTCTCTCAGCAAAGAAAGAATAAAAGTTTCAGAAAAACAGATTTCAAAGAAGCAGCAGCTTCAAAACCAGGAAAAAAATATCTCAACCGTACATTGATGCTGTTGAGGTACTTCTCTTTGTCCACACGAACGATTTGACCCTTTTTCACTGTTTTCTCATCAATCACAAACAAAGAATTATCAAAAGTCTGTTATTGGATTCAAAATGTTTGAAAGAGAAGTGAAGAAACAACAGACTCGAGTAAACCGGTTTCTTGGGAAGCGTTTTAGGGGTTTTGGTTGCAGCAGCTGGTGATGCTTCCCCTTCCGACTTGGCCTGTGTGCTCTGTTTCTCTTTCTCTGCTTCTGCTTTGACTGAGAATTGAGGTAGAGATCGAAGAGGGAATCTTCTAGAAGAAAATGGTAATGAAGAGGAGATGGTAGAGAGAGAGGAAAGCTGAGACAGAGTCGCTGAGAAAGCCATTGGAGACCACCAAGAAAATTTTCTGTGTTCTTTGGAGTTTGGGATAAGACCGCAATGGTCTCCAAGTCTCAACGGTCTAAAACAGACATCACCGAACCAATCATAAGATAACACGTAAGTGCAGACAAGTTTCCTCTGCTATACAACTAGGATTATTTGTTTATATAATAGATCACAAAATTATATTTATTTAGATAATAGTCATATTTATTTGGATGCTTGAAACTATAGGTAGAAGTGAAATCGTGTATGTCATATACAAATCTTTCTTACGTTTATATTATTAATTAGATGTTACATTAACTATAATAATTAATCTGGTAGTAAATTAGGTAACAATATGGTTAAAAAAAAAAAAATTAATTTTAGCTTAAAATCATATTTACATTGGTCTCCTTTTGTAACCAAGAACAAAAACAGAGTCATGAGATGAGCATCAGGATCTAGACTTGCAAATATCAAAAAGGGACAAGAATTTAGCCTACGTCTTGGCTCAATGTATATTACAGGGGTAATAAGAAAAGAAAAGAGAAAAATGAGAAAAAGGTTGAGCTCAATCATGAACTTTTAGGCTCTAATTTCATCCTCTTGGAAGATGGAGTGTCGTCATCTAGAGAGGAAACATCCTGAGACGACGATGATGAAGATGACGATGATGGAGATGAATCAATGTCGTTTTGTAGGATTCTCTTAGGACTAGAGCTTTTGGTTAATCCTTCCTTAGCTTCACCAACTCTCATTATAAGTTCTTTCAGCCGCTTCACGTCTGCTAATTTCACAGGTTTTAGCAAAAAATCCTCTGCTCCTTCTATCATACATCTACAACAACAACAACAACAAAAGAGAATAGACACAAAGTCAGATTATAATGTTAAGATTCATTGATTCAGTTTGTATCTTGACTAGGGTGATGACTTACTGTTCTATACGAGGCTGTATGTTTTCAGACGACATTATCACAACTGGTATTTCTCTGAATGCTGAAGACTCCTAGTAAAGCAAGAGAAAAGCTTATATACAAATCTTGGTCTCTCTAATAAATGAGAGTAAAGAGAAAGTTACTTTGATCTTCTTGAGGAGTTCATATCCCGTTAGTCCTGGCATAGAGTAATCCGTCACTATCAAGTTCACCTTCAGATCCTGTTTATCCAAAATCTTTACATATAAACATCATCAAAAAGCAAAAGGGTTTAATTAATACGTTTTGAACCTCAATGTTAAATTATAGGTTTCTTGGGAGCCAAACACATCAAGATTTCAATCTTTGAGGGGTTTGTTTATGTCAGAAAAGAGAGAGACTAAAGAGAAAGAAAGAATAAAAAATACCGTAAGAGCAGAAGATGATCCATTGGGTCCATCTAAACCAAGATACTGAAGAGCCCTAGCCCCACTCTCAACAGTCGTCACTATACATATATAAACAGACGCAGGAAACAGAATCAGAGACAAAACAAAAGAAGAAGAAGATACAAAAGAAGCAGAAACGGCGTTGCCTTCATTTTTACCTTTACAAGCAGAGATCTTAAGCAACCTCTCAATAACCTTACGATCAACGAAACTATCATCAACAGCAAGAACATGTAACTCCGAAGAGAATCCCCCAAGAGCCATTGTTTGTCTCTCTTTTCTTGAAAACAAGCAAAACAGAGGAAGCGTTATATCTAAAGATAGAACGTCAAAGGGACGCAGAAATCAATGTGAAGATGGGGAAAGGAGAGGAGTTACATAAATAAGAGAGAGAGAGAGAGAGAGGGAAGGAGTAATTAGAGAGAGAATCTTGAAGGGATCGGATCTTGGTTGATGTAGTGTAGTAGTTGTGAAGATCTTGTGTGAGAGAGGACAGAGGAGGAGGGAGAAGAGAGAATCTAAAGGAGATGAGTGATGTGTTCTCTCATCTCATCTAATGTCATGTGTTGTCAGATAACGTAATATTGTGTCTTCACGGTCAAAATCTTTTCAGGGTCCCATTTATATATTTCGATCTTTTACGATCCTTTTGTCTCCTCTTTTCTTTCTTTCCTGACTATGACTACTCCCCTCTCCTCTCTATTTTCCTTCTTTCTCTCTCTCTTTTGGTAATCAGTAATTTACAACACCTACTAATAAATATGTATGTCTCTATTTATTACTTTCCACATTTCAAAAAAAAAAAAACTTTTGGAGATTCACAAAATCTATATAGAACTTGTAATAAAATCTTCATGAGTTACTCAAATACTTTCTTCACTTCTTTATTAGATAGAGTTTGGTGGCTACCATTTTTATAGAAAAACACGAATCCATATTCCGGTGCATTAATAAGAATAAATAATGGCATTTTATATATATACAAACACGAAAAAGGTTTTTGGTAGAGAGATCTTATCCGCTGCTGCTCTCTTGGTCTACTTGACAGTGATCGGATCATCGGAAAGGAGAAAGAACCGTGACACCACCATTCACATAAATCCAAGCTCCAAATAGTGAGTGTGTAACTGTTTTTTGAAGGCCACCCTCACCCTTAAGAAAGCCCAATAACAATGGTTCGCTCCTATTTCAAAAACCGTTAAACATTAGCGGTAAAAAAAAATACAATTGTATATAGCAGCGGTAAAAAAATAAAACTGTTATACATACATACAACTTCACTAATTTACCCTAAAAAGTCACTCCTAAGTTTAAAGGCAACAAAAAAAAAAGACAAAAGGAAATTGAAAGAGTCGATGAAGCGTGTTTTGAGCAAATCGTTAAGTACTTTGGCCGCCGGCGGAGTGAATCTTAAACCACCACCGCCAGATTCGGGCGTTATAGCTAACCAAATCCTCTCTTCTCCCACAACAATTGATCAATCTCTAGTCTCCATCAAAACAACCCCGTGGACTCCAAATCTCGTCAACTCTGTTCTCAAGCGCCTCTGGAACCACGGTCCTAAAGCTCTCCAATTCTTCCACTTCCTCGACACTCACCACCGCTCTTACGTCCACCATGCTTCCTCCTTCGACCTCGCCATCGACATCGCCGCCCGTCTTCACCTCCACCCCACCGTGTGGTCTCTCCTTCACCGTATGCGCTCTCTCCGCATCGGTCCTTCTCCTAAAACCTTCGCTATCGTCGCCGAGAGGTTCGCTTCCTCTGGGAAACCTGATAAAGCGGTGAAGCTCTTTCTGAATATGCACGAGCACGGTTGTTTTCAGGATCTGGCTTCTTTCAATACGATTCTCGATGTCTTGTGTAAATCTAAACGCGTTGAGAAAGCTTATGAGCTGTTTAGGGCTCTTAGGGGAAGATTTGGTGCTGATACAGTTACTTACAATGTGATTGTCAATGGTTGGTGTTTGATTAAACGTACGCCTAAGGCTTTGGAGGTTTTGAAAGAGATGGTTGAGAGAGGGATTGACCCTAATTTGACTACTTATAACACAATGCTCAAAGGGTTCTTCCGAGCTGGGCAGATTAGACATGCTTGGGAGTTCTTCTTGGAGATGAAGAAACGGAATTGTGAAATCGATGTTGTTACTTACACTACTGTGGTTCACGGGTTTGGTGTTGCAGGGGAGATAAAGCGGGCTAGGAATGTTTTCGATGAGATGATTAGAGAAGGTGTGCTTCCTTCTGTTGCGACTTACAATGCTATGATTCAAGTTTTGTGTAAGAAAGATTGCGTAGAAAATGCGGTTGTCATGTTTGAGGACATGGTGAGGAAAGGTTATGAACCGAATGTGACGACTTATAATGTGTTGATAAGAGGCTTGTTTCACGCTGGAAAGTTCAGTCGTGGAGAGGAGTTGATGCAGAGAATGGAGAATGAAGGCTGCAAACCAAACTTCCAGACATACAATATGATGATACGCTATTATTCAGAATGCAGCGAGATTGACAAAGCCTTGTGTTTGTTTGGGAAGATGGGGAGTGGAGATTGCTTGCCAAACCTGGATACTTATAACATACTGATAAGTGGAATGTTTGTGAGAAAAAGATCAGAAGATATGGTGGTCGCTGGTAAACTGTTACTTGAGATGGTTGAGAGAGGGTTTATACCCCGGAAATTCACATTTAATCGAGTTCTGAACGGGCTTCTTCTGACAGGGAATCAAGCTTTCGCAAAGGAGATCTTGAGATTGCAGAGTAAATCTGGTAGCCGGCTTCTCCGGAAGTTCAGGTTATGAATCTCCTTATCTGCTTGTGAGAGGGGAAACTTCGTGCTATGCTTTCATCAATCAGTACTATACGCTGCATTGCACTTAATGCGGATTAAACTAGGAAAGGCATGCATAGGTGTACAATCTTAAAAGAGCTTCATTGGATAAAGCAAGAACAGTGCAGTTACAATGCCAAACTACAAAATGCTTTATTATCATGGGCAAAAATTCTGTGTGCCTTTTACAGTAGCTGTGACTGTGAGTAAAGATAATGAAATTTAATACAAAGTTGGAAAATTCTTGGTGTAAATATATGATGATACATGTGAATTAGTTCCCAAATTTTTGCTTCTGTGATTCTCCAGTAGATTTTTCAGTCAGATGGGAGATGATGTGGCTCCCCACTGGGTTGGTTTCATGTTCCAATTACAAAATGATCTCGTCTTGAACACTGACATTGAGTGTCTTGTTTGGAAGAACAATACTGCTGGTCACCACAACCTCGTCTTCAACTGCTACCGACTCTCCTGAAAAACCATTATGTTTGAAGTTAGTTTCTGTCTGTAGGGAGATTTTGCTGTCTGTGTGTAAACCGGATGGGGAAAAGAGGGAAAAAAAATTACCGAGAATTGTAACTCCGAGTTTGGAATTGTAGACTCCCTCAGCCTGTGATCAACAAAGTGAAACTTCAGGTTCACGATTGTAAAGAAACCAAACAGAAACATTTCAAGGTCCAAAAAAGAATGAGTCAGACTCTTAAAAGCTGAGCCGAAGAGAGAAACATGCCTGGACGCGGGACCATCTCCCGATAGAAGATTTCCACCCAACAATTGCGTTAGTCACCACTGCATTTTCCTGGGCAAACAGCACTGAAGAGTCAACCTCGAGATAACTTTACCTACTTGTTTTTATAAGAGAAGACATACCATGATCTCAACATTGTCAAGAATGATACAGCTGATAAGCCTGACACCCGGTCCAACACGAGCATTTGCAGAGATTGAGACGTTGGGGCCAATCTGTTAATAGACGAAACAGAATGCTTTGTGATAAAAGAAGAATAAGAAGAAGTTGACTAAATATGGGACAAAATGAGAGGCAAGTACCTTTGCAGTTGGGTGTACTTTTGCAGAAGGATGTATGTAAACATCACCAATTACAATGGCACTCCTTGTTCCATCACCACTAGCCAACAGTTGGGGAGAGGTCAAATGGAATTGGGAAAGATAGAGTCCGGAACACCGCAGCGACATTCTGCGCAAATCAACCCATAGGCCATAAGTCAGAGCCACATCCACATAAACACGTTCCCTGTTTTAGTTATGCTAAACATTTTGTCATTGTGGCTTAAAAGAAATGAGGGAAACAAAAGGCAAGGCATACCCGGGAGACTTAATTTGCTCCCAGAAGTCCATTGTCTCATATGTATATAGCTGTTTCTTTCCAGCTAGAGGTGAAAGGATATCTTGATCCAGTCTTACAAAATCAGTCGGGATCCTATTTAGAAAAAGTTAAAACCTATTATTTGAAGAAAATGATTCAAAGGCTTTTTCAGTTATGGACAAAGAGACATTCAACAGACCTTGTCGCCGGTTGAAGAGCTTCGAAGCTGGAAACACGTTTTAGAGTTGCTACGACAAACAGAAGGGAACAAAAGCAGAGGAAACAGATGAGAAGAGTATTTACAGATGGAAGCTAAGATAAGAAAACACAACTTATGTTGTAAGATCTTTGTTACTGCTTTACCTCTATCTTTCCTCTGAGTAGACACATCTCCTATGGCATTAAAAATTTCAGGTGTAAAGACATAAACACCGCAGTTAATACGATCACTGACCTGTGTTTCCAATAGAAAACATCAGAATCAACTCTTGAAGATGCTTATAGAGATTGAGTCATCTCATTGATAAATGTACATACAAAAGTTTCGGGTTTCTCAGTGTAATGAAGCAGCTCATTAGTAACTGGATCTGCAACCAATTCTCCAAATTGGCTGGCTGATTCAGGAGAGACCTATAAACCAAAACGCAGAAGCAAATTTGATTAACCCGCCAAAAAAAAAAACAAGACTAATCATATGCAATCACAAACCTTGATCACAAGAAGAGTTCCAATTCCACCATATCCCCTGTGAGCCTCTGTTGATTAAGTGGCAAGAGTGAGAAGGGTCTTAAAAGCCAAAATAAGACACCACACAAGATTCAGCCTAAGAAAAGAAGAACATACCAAGCATTTCCGGCAAGGGGAAACTGCAACAAACATCACAGTTAAGCAGGAAGATATGAGACTGCAACAACGTAAACACAAGAACTCAAATATGAGAACAGACACTTATTCCATAAACAGTTAGCTAGAAGAATGATTGAACATAGAAAGATCCTTAGAGACTAACCGGGCTATCCTCCATAATTAGATTTCTAAAGTGATACAGCCCACCAGCTGAACCATGTGGTTTGTCTTCTCGCAGATATCTAAAAGTGATAGAATAAAGATCAGAGGTGCATAAAAATGAGTCACTATACTTGAGTTGAATCTGATGCAGAGGAGAGACTGATTAACCTAACAGGAACTTTGAGTTCATTAGAGATGGCTGAGACATAAAGTGCAAATTCCCTTTCCTCATAGAAGCCAACAAGATATATTTGAGCTAAATTTGGAATCTGCAGACAATAACGGATTCATATTATCATCATCATATCTCATCCTCCATTGATTTGAATTGTAGAAATCGGGTGAAAAGATTTACTCTTTTACAAGCTGAAATTGGATGATGCACCATTGGTTGTCCCGCAATTGGAAACAGAGGCTTTGGAATGTTCAGTGACAATGGTCGAAACCGAGTACCTGGCGATCACTCAGTAAACGATATTCAAACAGGATCAGAACCATAATCATTCGGACACACGAAACTAAGAAGAAGGAAACAACAGCTAAACGCATTGAATGTGATCAAACACAATCGAAATCTAACGAGGTCGTTTTTAGATCAATCTAGATTTCACAGTCATTTGCTATTGAGGTAGAAGCAGAAAGAAGGAACAAAAGCAAACATTTTTAGCGGTTACCTTTGGTTGGACCACCGACCATGATCACAGCAACCACTTTCTCCTCCATTGAGCTCCCCATTTTTTTCAAAACTCCAAAATCTCAGATCGCTCAACAAACTCCGAAATACTTCGAGTTCTCTCCCACAAAAGAAATAGATAAATGGGCACCGCAGTATAAAGAATTCAGAACAAAAGGATGAGCCTTTGAGAGAAGATCTCGTTGGAAAATTTGAGAAAGGTGAAATTTTGGAGAAGATCCAATCGAAAGTGTCGCTAGTGAGTTGTGGTTATCGAGATCTAAGCTGTAATGTTGCGGTGATGGGTCCTCCAAGTCACACTCACCATTCACCACACTCGTTTAAAGGATAAGCGCGAGAGATGATACCAGTCTTCTTTACCACTTCTATCTTCTTTTTCAGATTTGTTTAAATTGATTGCCAAACAGTTTATACAAGTATAAAATAAAAATTCCACTCTTTGGATCTCATTAAATGCTTTACCTAAGCTAATATAGTAAAAAAAATCATATTGCCATGTGAGTTTTAACTTTGATGTGACTTGAAGGTGACATAAATTGGTTCATGTTCTTGATATTGCTGCACCCGAGCCTAAAATGGTGCTTCATTATTGCTTGCCTTATAGAACAATCAAACACAAACGCATCTTTATTCATAATTTTTCCTAAACTCAAAAAAGATTTTACAAATCAGAGTTATAGGACTAAATGGGACAGACTGATTATAAAAGCACAAAGATGAACACACAGCATTTGGTTTGGTTTCCATTTTCATGACAATATCTTCATTACTTAGTTGGGGGATTTGTACCATCCCCATGGATCGTTTGAAGTGTAGAGAGTCACCTGCTTCACACTCAAGTAGTTATCAAGTCCCCTGAAGCACACAAGAAACCAGCCAAACCCAAGAGATGTTTAGTACAACTGTACAAGCCATCAAGTCTTTAACAATTTAGTGATAGAAAAAGAGGTGTACCATTCTCCAAGTTCACGTCCAAACCCGCTGCGTTTGACTCCACCCCATGGGGCTTGAGTAAAGCAAGGCTGCGAGCAGTTAATCCAGACAATTCCAGCTTCAAAGGCCTTACAAAGTAGAACAGATTATTTATGTTATTAGACGGTATTGTTATTTCACCTGCTACAAATTGTAGGAATATGAATTGTTCAAGAAATAGGCACTGACCTGGCTTACACGGTCACATCTTTCTGTATCATTAGATATCACTGCAGCTCCTAGTCCGTAACTGTCATTTATTAATGATGATTTTCAGTGACATAAGTTATTAATTGATAAAGGCAATTAAAGCAAGGGGCAACTAATGGGATTTCATCAGATTTCACTTTCTGGAGGAAAATTATCTTACTGGGAGTCATTTGCTAGCTCAACTGCCTCATCCTCACTGGCAAATGTTTTAACGCAAAGAACAGGCCCGAAAACTTCTTCTCTCCATATTTGCATTGAAGTGGATACATCAGTTATGATGGTTGGTTCAATGAAGAAGCCCTTTCCTAGATGCTGTGAGATATAGATATGATATAAACGTCATCATCATAGCCTGGAAGAAAGTGCATCAGGGATAGGAAAGAGAGGGAGATATAATACCTCAGGTCGGGAGCCCCCATGCAAGATTGTTGCTCCTTCACTTTTAGCCGTTGAGATAAACTTCAATATCTTCTCGTACTGTAATATTGACATTTGTCAGCTCATTCAGATTATATGATCATAAAAGTTTAAGTGCATCTACCAAGTAAGAACATGACAAGCTTGATGAAGCATCATATGGTGGATTAATTTGACTGATGCTCTACAAACTGAACGAATCAGAATTAGGACAAAAGATAGCCACTGTAGTATAGAACTCTATCTATGAAAGATTCCAATTTTTTATAAGAATCTCATCAGTTAACTTTTTCTTTTCTTTCCTGGTTCTCGTCATGCATTTGGATTTAGCAACCTGATGGGAAAATAACAAAAGGTAGAAAAACGGAAAAATAATCACTGGGATTTTACCTGTCCTTTGCTAACAACAGGACCAAGTCTGCATCCTTCTTCCATGGGGTCTGAAATTTTAATGTTCTTGCTCCACTTCACAAGCTTTTCAATAAATTCAGCTGCGATGTTTTCCTAAAATAGAGAATATAAAATTTAACGTCATGAACGTATACATAAATAGAAAAGGATCTGCAATCGTTTTTCAGCAGTGATTTATCTCTGCTGATTAATCTTGACTTTCATTGAAACACCTTACCTTGTACTTGGAACATTCACTTATTTAGTAATAAATATTACCTTATGTCGTATTCATCTCAAACGTAAGAAGAAGATTTGCCCAAAAAAAAAAAACGTAAGAAGAAGGTTGGCACTTACATGAACAAGAAGGCGGGAAGTCGCACTGCATATCTGACCATTTGTCCAGAAGCAACCAAAGAGAGCCCATTCAGCAGCTATCATTTGCAGGCGTCAAAACATACAAAGAATTAATTTTTAAGACCATAGCCAAGACATGTCTACACAGCAAAAGAACAGCCAATACCTTTGTACTATCTTGAATATAACATGTACTACAAGACGAAGATATCTAAAGAAAAACTTAACATCCACTAAATTACTTTTTGTGATATTAACCTTTATCAAGATCAACGTCATCGAACACAATGAGAGGGCTCTTCCCACCAAGTTCCATAGAGACAGGCTGCAACAATACCATGAGTGATGTTTAATTGACATTGTTTGATGAAACAGAAAGAGGTGAATAGATATGTAACAGAAGTTTCAGAGATTTGAATTACCTTCACCAACTGAGCAGCAGCTGTCATGACCTTACTTCCTGTGGCAAAACTTCCAGTAAATGCAATCTGCCGAAAACATAAATTTTCCTTTTAGCTTCTAAGAACCATGTTACACTGAAACGATGGTGTAGTCAGTAGCCTTTTTAGACAATTGTGTTGGGACTTTGGGACTTGTGTTTCATGTATGTCTCAAAGAACAATACCTTGTCCACTCCAGGGTGTGATGACAAAGGACCACCAGCTTCCGAACCTAAACCAGTCAAAACATTGAGGACCCCAGGAGGAAGACCAACTTCTCGACAAATATCAGCAAGCTCCAAACAAGTGCTGAAGTTAAAACCATGACACAAATCAGAGCTCGAAGAAGTACCAATGCAGAACAAAATAGATTATACACAATTACATACACGGATGCCAGCTCTGATGGCTTGAGAACCGCAGTGCATCCGGCAGCAAGTGAAGGAGCCACCTTCCAAACAGCCATTAAAAGGGGGTAATTCCTTCAACAAACCAGGTCCGGGGGTCAGTTCTGGTCAGATGGGCTTTACAAACACTATTATAGGTGCGAAAAACATCTAAATAGTTTAACATCAAAAAGCAAACTAACAGTAGTTACCATGGAGTAATAAGTCCCACAACTCCAAGAGGTTGCTTCAGAACATAACTCTTAAAACTCTCCATGGGAAGGGAGACCGGAGTTTTCTGCTTAGCATCTAATCCTTCAGCAAGGTCAGCATAAAATTCAAAACATCCAGCAACATCATCCTGCAGGAAATCAGACAATCATATTAAGAGTAAACCTCAAAAGAAGGACATGCATTTTACACAAAAATAGTGAAAGCAATAGTACCATATCCCAGACTGCTTCATCCAAAGGTTTACCACAATCAAGCGCCTCGAGCTTTGCCAGATGAGACTTCCTTTCATTTACCTAAACAGATCAGATACAGAACATTAAAAGTGATTACACAAAATGTCTGAACAAAACTGAGGCTGGAAGAAATCTCAGCATAGCATCAAAATGAAGACCTTAGCGGCAATAGCACGTAAATACTTAGCACGGAGAGCTCCTGGTGCTTTGGCCCAATCTTTCCCTTGATTCCTCGAAAATGCTCTTCGAGCAGCGTTGACAGCAACATCCACGTCCTCCGTAGTCGCTGCAGGGATATCACCTGACTCATACAACACATACAGATCCTTGCGTCAATTTCTCAGCACAAAAGAAAATGGTCATGGATAGAGTTAGAAGACTCCCCAGAAGCGAAACCTCCACATTGAACTCAGAAGTAAAGAAAAAGTACAAATTTAACTCGGAGGATGGCGGATCTAATTCAGCTTTGTGGGGAGCGGGAAGAAAAGGGCTTACCAATGACCTCTTCGGTAGCCGGATTCACGATCGGGATTCGCTGCTTCAAGATGGGCTCTCTCCAGTCACCGTCGATGAATAGCTGGCGAGTAGGCATCGGAATCGCCATTTCGTTATGTGAATCTAAAGCTTCTCTCTCTCTCTCGTAGTTGCTGGTACACGCACTTCAAGATTTTTGAGTGGCTTTTTGTAAAGGAGACTAGGATCAATACGGGAACGCTTCCTTTTTTCCGCTGACACGTATAGCTTCGGTGCTCGCTCATAAAAAATTTGTATTTTATATAGTGCTGTGATGTGACTCTGAATTCAACATCCCCATTTATTTTGGGGAAAGCAATAAAGCAATCAACCAAGTGTAGTTAGCTTTTTAATCTTTTGTTTAACTCCATTAAAATGACTTACAGGTACTAATATAATGTCTTTAATATAAATATTATTGTAATTAAATTTCTAGATTTACACTGTATAATGTTAACAAAAAAAATTATTAAATTTCACAGAAATTAATAATACATTGTTAGAATAACCACTTTCTAAATAAGAAGTTTTGCGACAAAAAAAAAATATATAGTATAGAAGTTTTTTCATATAAATGATAAAGCATTACCTTACTAGAATAATGGGAAAAAACCTTTAAAATACCCCATCCATTTTGTTTTTGGAAGTTTAATACTTTAAATTTTTTATTGGAAGAAAAATACTTCATTTATATATATCTGGTTTTTAAATACTTTAATCTTTTAATCATTGGTAAATTCCAACCCGTGATTTAACCGGCGGTTACGGAATCATTGAACGAGTTAAAGTTCTAATCTCGTGTTTTGAAGGATATTTACAATTTCAATGCTGGTTATTTTGGATTTGTTTGTGTGGTCTGTTGGTAATTTGTGGGTTTTTGATTACAGTATAATATTAGTTTTTCTGATAGCAAAAACGGAATGAAAAATGGATCATTAACACTCATCGCTAAGCTTCTACCATTTTTAACATATGAATTGGAAAAACGCATAATTTACTTAGTGAGTCTTGTGCTTGTTTCTTCATGGACTCTGACATAAATCAGAACCAATAAGTCGTGTCCGTATCAAAAATTTCATGAGCATAAATATTAACCAAGTCAAGCTGAGTCTGGTTCTGAGAAAGGAAAACGAAGTACTCAATCTTGAACTTCTTCTCGAAACACAAGTGAAGTCGCCACGAAAGTCTAAGTATTTTAAAACAAACGTGTGCTTGAACAAATAGAGATAATCATCAAATATATTTTGCACAAAAAAAAAAAAAAAAAAAGACAAAACAGTAAGAGAGTGGAATTAAATCACGTGGAAAACAAGGAACACGACAAAGCAGAAGAACAGTCTCACTCACTATTCCCGCGTTCGCTAATCCGCCACGTGTCTCATCTTCACGCGCCATTCAGCGTTGATCTTCTTCCTCACTCGTCACTTCCACTCCTCATATATAAAATCCCACACAGCCGCAAAGTCCAACTCAAACCAGATTATTCAGTATAACAGAAATAACTACACACACACACAACTGAAGCTCGAGAGAAACATATTTTAAACCGGAACAGAATCCAATTAAAACCAAACCGGGATTTGCAAGAAAATGGTGAAGCAAGCGAAAGCGACGAAGGAAGAGGAGAAGAATAGAAACACGGCAATGCAGTCAAAGTACAGAGGAGTAAGGAAGAGGAAATGGGGGAAATGGGTATCTGAGATCAGACTTCCACACAGCAGAGAACGTATCTGGTTAGGCTCTTACGACACTCCCGAGAAGGCTGCCCGTGCTTTCGACGCCGCTCAGTTTTGTCTCCGCGGCGGCGATGCCGATTTCAATTTCCCTGATAACCCACCTTCCATCTCCGGAGGTATGTCTTTGACTCCTCCTGAGATCCAGGAAGCCGCTGCTCGATTCGCCAACGACACTACTACCCAAGACAATGTTGTTGTTCTCGTCAAGGGAGAAGAAGAAGATGAAGAAGAATCAGGTCTAGTACCCGGATCCGAGATCCGACCTGAGTCTCCTTCTACCTCTGCGTCTGTTGCTACGTCGACGCTAGATTTTGATCTTTCATTTTTCGATTTGCTTCCGATGGATTTTGGGATATTTCCTGGGTTCGATGACTTCTCCGGCGATCGATTTACAGAGATTTTACCAATCGAAGACTACGAAGGAGAGAGTTTGTTGGATGAATCTTTGCTTCTTTGGGATTTTTGAATTTATTCCAAAAGAACATTTTTTTGGGTTTAATCGGGTCGTCACGGAGTAATCTGGTGACTCATTTTTTTTGTAACACGGAGCTCCACTGACCCGGGAACTTGTTTCGTTTCGGATCCGAATTTGATGTGGATCATCATTTCTTCATTCATATATATTTTTTTTATTTTTGTTTTCTTTGATACTTTTGTTATTATCACAGATAAATATTGAATAAGATTCTAATATTAAATTTTTATGCACTTTCCTTTGCAAATCTCGGCCTTTATGTTTTCGTATTATTCTGAGGAATATGCTTCACATACAGTGACTTTGGGAAGCTATTTTATTATTCGGCCCAAAATCTTATAAATGGGCCTATATTATTAATCATTTTATTAAGCCCATCCATTTGTGAAAATGATGCTCGTGTTATGTAGGGTCTCTCTTAGCCTAAGAAAAAATGATGATTGATAAGTACAAATAGTTGGTTTACCAAAAAAAAAAAAAATTATAAGTACAAATAGTTTTCTATAAAATGAAATATCCAATAAAAATATCTTTCCCAGCATTCATGAAAATTACAAGTCAAGAAAATTATAATGGAGTATAAAGGACGAGAAACGGTCGCATTAATAATTAAAAAACATATACAGTAAAACCTCTATAAATTAATACTCGATAAATTAATAATCTCTATAAATTAATAAATTTTTCCGGTCCCAAGTTGGGACCAGTGTATTTTTAGACATATTTCGATAAAATAATAAGATAATAATTTTTTGAAAATCCTTTGTAAATATATGGTCCCATCAATATTATAAATTAATAATTAGGTAAAATTTTCAAAATACATGTATATATAGACACATTAGTTTTTGTTAGATTTTATTTCTAATATTTTACTATATGAAAAATAGTTAGCATTCTCTTTTAATACATAATAATTATTATTTTATTTGTAATTGAATATATAAAATACTAATTATCATGATTAAATCATATTTTTAAATATTGTTTTGAAAATATTTTCCAAATTAGGAATATCTCTCTATAAATTAATAATTATTAATTTATCGATAAATTAATACCTCTATAAATTAATAGATTTTCATGGTCTAAATATTATTAATTTATAGAGGTTTTACTGTATATATAATGTAGAAAATAATCAGAAAATATGATGAAATAGGGGAAAATATTAAAGTTAGGGATAAGATTCCAATCATTTTCAAATTGCCACCTAATTTTCGGCTTAAATTTATATAAAGAAAAACAATCACTTTCAGACAAAGTAAAACCACTGTTTTTGGTTTCAGACAAAAAAACTAATACCACTATTCTTAAATAAAATAAAATAAAAACTAGGTGCTAAATTATATAGATGAATCGGTCTACATTTACATTTACATTTACATAAAACTTTATAAAAAATAAATATATCAGGTACATCACAGAATATATATTTTTCCTGAAGAGAAAAAGTCTTGGATTCCCAATAATAATATAAAATAAAATTAAAAACAAATATGAGAAATGGACATCTGAATCTTGATGGAAAAAACAATGTGTCCGTAAACGGACCTACCACACTTCAATGAAATAATAAAAGGAAAAAAAAACGAATCATTTAGATATATATTTATAAAGAAAAAATTTGAATATAAAAAAATAATATCTGAGCCTGCTCATTTCAATAATTGTGTATAAATATATATGATGTCGATTAAAGTAAACAAATAAAGAAAGATAAATAAAAATAAAAATAATGATGGAGTTTATATAAATAAAAATGGTGGGCCGTTCTATAAACTTCAATCATTAATCATAGCACACAAAATTCCAAACTTGATAAAATGAAATCAGTGGGCTAAAGTCTCTACCTTTCTCCTTCTTCCTTCTTCCTTATTCCTCTTCTTCAATCAGATTCTCTCCTATTACCTAGCTCTCTTCGTTTCCTGTTTCTTTATTTCATTTCCTATCTCTTGTTCTGTTCTGTTCTGTTCTGTTCTGTTCTGTTCTGTTCGGTTCTGTTCTTGATTATGATACTAAGCAAGAGACCTCATCTAATGATCCGTAAATTGTCTGAGATGTTGGTTCCAAGAAGCCGATCTGCTATTAAACCGGAAGATTCCACGGCCAGCCCCAGAAGTCCCTTGGATTTGAAATTCCCCTCGCCGGTTAGCTCGAAGCGGTACGGTTCTCGTGGTGTCGGTTTGGGTATCGTAGCTGCGTTGGAGGAAACTAGAATCGGGATTCACGATCCGGTTCGTTACTCCGGGAGATTCCGTTGCCCTGAGGTCGATCTGTCGGACGAGGAATACACTTACGTCACGAGCCCTAACGGCCCGACCAAAGTTTACTACAACGACGACGACGGGTTTGAACTGAGTGAAAATGATTACCGGAGAGTGCATAAACCGATTGTTATCGCCGAGGAACCACCGGTTATTATTAAAAGGCAGACTTTTAGGGATTCGACAGAGTTTCTGAGCTCGTGTTGCTTGTGTGAGAAGAAACTTCAAGGCAAAGACATATACATGTACAAGTAAGTTTCAGCATCGCATTATTAAAACCCTTGTCTCTTTGTGGGGGGTTCTTTTTTGTTTGGGGCAAATTTCAAGATTGTAAATCCCCAAATATGCCAAATATTATTGGGTGTGTTTATCTAGAAACTGATATTTATTATTATTGTTGGGTTTGTGTGCAGAGGAGAGATGGGATTCTGTAGTGCTGAATGCAGATCAGTGCAAATAATGAATGAGGAACGAAAAGAGCAATGTAAAACGCAAGTTTCAAGAAACGTACAAGTTTCGAGCTCTCCTTACGCCACCGGACAGAGATTATCTGCCGGAATATTCGTGTTTTAGGATTGGACACACACGACGATATAACTCTATAAGAGAAGTCTTCGATGATGAGATTAAAATAAAATAAAAAACAAGAGTGATCATCATTCCATTTTACCTTAAAAGAAAAAAAGTGAAATTTTTGGTTAGGTTAAAATAGAAAGCAACCATTGTATAGAAGTTTGCTTTTTGATTGAAATACCGATTAATGATGTTCAATGTCTAATGTTTTATGCCTTTGTCCTCGGAATCAATTACTACATCAATAAATTTACGAGAGACACATGTTTATATGTATGTATACATTTTCTGGTAAAAAAAAAAACAAATACAAATTCATGTGGGTTTTAGTGCTTGTGTATCTTAAAGAAAGAAGTTACCAATCTAGATATTCATAGAGGAGAGAGGTTACGAAATTACAACAACTACGATTAAAACTGTAATGAACATAATTAGTTGCTACTTGAGTAATATCATAGTTCCAAAGCTTGAGTAATTCATGATTTCCAACTAAAAATTATCTTTAGAAAAGAAAGAAAGAAAACAGATAGGGGCGTACGCACAGTCCATTTAATGAGAGAAACTAACATAACAACGTTTTAATGCAAAATCAAAGAGCTAAAGATAGATAGAAACACAATAATTAAAGCTAATGAAAAACCATTAGGATTGGTAGTGCAATTATGTGTAATGGAGACGTGGGGGGACCTTTGGGTTATATGCAACTTGTTTGAATCCTAGGCCCCTTTGTCAGAAAAATAATTTATATACTCTGTACTACTATATGCCTCTCTCTCTTTTTTTTCCCATCAACTGAGAAAACTATGATATTTTTCTTTTTCTTTTGTATCGAAACTTTGTAGTCCGGTTCTGCAGTTCCAGATTACGTTATCTTTTTTTTTTTTCCAAGTCGGAATATATAATAATTGGATCTTAGGTTTATTTTAAGCTAATAGTGATAACGAACTTCGGACCAGACCTTTGAGCTCGTTTTTGTTAGTTGAAAGATTTTGTGTTTCAAAGAGTCAGGGGACCGAACAAAAATAAGAGCTATCGCATTCGCCGGTCAGAATTCCCATGGCCTACCCCAAGTCTGGTCTGACTGACTCCACTCCACTAACCTCTTTGGATATTATTTCACGAAGTTTCTTTCTTTAATGGACTTCGGATATTTTATTTTTATTTATTTAAAAGTCGTATTTTACGAGGAAAGAAAAGAGCACAAGCAAGCAAGTAGCTTCTACTATTTATTTATTAACCAAATAATACTCTTAACTTGTGCAAAATTTGTTTATTTAACCAACGAAACTAAAAGACTAATACTATACGTTATATCGAAATGTCGAATTTTCATTCTGAACAATATTTACTAGTTTTGTTAATTTAGAATGTTTCACATGACATTCACGACAATACTAACTTAGCAGATAAAAGAACATATCATTTTACGATATATCTCTATTTTTGAAAGAAAACGCGTATTGTTAGGACTAATCAATACTTCAATTTTAAATTATTTATTAATTTCATTACTCTTCGCTTAATTGGGGAAGCTTTAGCTCAATAAGCGAAAACATAACAATTGGATTTTATCAAATTAAGATGATATCACAGCCGTCAACAAAAGAAAGAAAAAAAACATGCAACTAATGGATGTTTCTTACAAAAGTTCCAAGCTAATGTTGAGATATCGGCAGAGGAAAGGGTTATAGTCTTTTATAGACAATGGCTTACACTTAACCTTGAACCTCACAAGCAAAACATCCAACGCTATAGAGATTACTTTCTTACAAATATACTAGGTTTTCTGCGCATCCGACAAACAAACAAAAACTACTAGGGATGAAATCAATTTTATAGACCAGAAAGACAAAAAAAAAAATGAACAGACGACCAGCTTCATATTTTTGAACAATGGAGCATCAAAAGAATCTTAAGAGATGGTATCTCTCAAGAAGCTTTTGGGTTGGGCAGTCTCAAAAGATTACCGAGAACCAAGCCAAGCTGGGTTAAGCTTGGAAGACGCTTCACCTGAACCATCTATCTTGTATGGTGCCTTTGATGTAATCCTGTTGCAGGTTAAAACGTTGGGATATTGAGAATCTTGCTTCACAAACTATTTACAGAATAACAACTCAACATAAGATGTGTTTACACGAAATGATTTTACCTATCCTTCCTCTTCTCAAGGAATCGATGAAGCGAAGCTCTTCTAGCAATAGGGAGTTCTACAAATCAAGAAGGTAGGAAGTTAAATGAATATGGCTAAAGCCAATCCCCAAGAAAGATTGTTTGACCAAAGTGGCCGAGATATATTACCACAGGCTAAGGAGGACGGGTTGGGCTGGATCGGCTCTGGTGATGCAGTTTTTGTAGGACTAGCAGCTAGATTTGGGATAGAAGCAAACTCTTTTTGACTCTTGGCTAAGTTTTGAGTATAAGCAATCTGGTTCACTTCAGCTGTGAAACCTGTGAAGCTTTTGGCACTTCCTTTGTTAGCCAAATCAATGACTTCTTTGGCTTTCTCAGCAGAAAATTCATCAAACACCATAACTCGACCACCATAGAATATAGTCAATGGAGCAGATTCAGACTCCAGCTTCACGGATCTGTTTCAAAATTAAGAACCCCCAAAAAAAATTAGTCAAACTGATGACAACCTAGCTTAAGATGAATGAATTCAGTATATTTACATACAACATACTTAGTCTCTTTGATCATCTGGACTTCTTCCTTGGTCCCAGTGGAAGAGGAAGAAGAAAAGCTTGATTGTCTCGGGAACATTTTCTTGGGTTTGATGTCTTGACCATCCAAAGAATCCATTTTTGAAGCTTCACAAGGGAACAGATTCATCATTGTAGGCTGACGTGACGCAGCAAAACCTCCTGCAAAAACAGAAAAAAAAAAGACCCAAAATTAAGATAATTCTCCAATCGTTCTAACAATTGCTACAAAACACAAGTTTCTACTTAAGAAAAAAAAAGACTTAATGTTTCAACCAAACAGAAAAACATTTTCACATATTCATACACAAACAAACATGTAAGGAAATTGATTCGAAATCCAGTAAACAACAAACTAGATGTTTTGTTCTTCATCTATGCTCCAGTACGAATTTCAATTCCGACCGAACATAGGTAATCAAAATTGCAATTCGTAATTTAACTACTAAGCATGGGAAAAAGAAAAATTCAAAAGTCCCAGAAAGGAGAAAAGAAACAGATCTAAAAAGAGGGAAGGGAAAGCTATACCATTGAGGTCGGGCTTGCATGTCATGCCCAAGGTGAGATCTCCGAAACTACCCTTCTCCTTAAGATAACGACTCAATCGACTACACGTCTGCGAGAAGCTCGGTTTCCGACCAGAGAAGTCCCAACACTCGGCAGAACTCGACATCGTTTTGAGAATCGAAATTCAAAAACGTCTAAGAGATCGATCAATAGACAAATCGGAACCGTTTGCCTTGGTCTTCTTCAATTTTAATAAGAAACTAGGGTTCTTCTTTAGTTTTTTATCTCTCTGGTGCTGGTGGTGCTGCTGCAAAAGTGCGTTTGTTTGTCACGAGGAAGAAATGGGAAGGACCTCTCTCTCTCTCTGTCTCTCTTTATTACTTTCTTCGCTGGTTGCAGCAGATACGAAAATACTAAAAACAAAAGAAGAAAAAAAAACATTTTAGGGACATTAAAAACACGTGTTAATATTTAATGTTAAAACGGCAGACTAGTGAGTGTTTCAGATCACCGTCACTCATGTCCAATCCACGGCATCGCCTACGAAATCACCTTTTCACCCTTACCTCTACCCTCATCTTCTACCATTTTTTTTTTTTCTTACCCTTTACAACAAGAAAAAAAGGAATTCGATAAAAATATTCAAATGGACGTTTCATATTTGATAATCTTTGGGTTTAAAATATTCTTGATTCGTCCGTTACTTTATTAAATAATCTCGTAGATTGCCGTGATGTATTTTAGTATTAAAAGAATTAACGGCGTGAGCCAGAACAAACAAACAAAAAGGATTAACGGCGTAAACCAAGGAATGAAAAGAGTAACGGCGTAAATATTGACGGAGTTATGGAAACACGGTGTGGGTCTTATTTTACATCTTTTAAAATCCTTTACACGTAAACAAAGACTTCCCACTAAGCAATTTGATCCATAAATCACGTTTTGTATTTTAATCCTTATTAAATTGTACTAGTAATGTAGAGTAGTTAAATAGTATATTAGTATTAAAAGAAGCGGGAAGAGCACGTCTCCACCACGAATTGTAATCTCACACGTGTCTAACTTAACTGCACACATTTGTGAGAGAATTTTTCTTGTTGTTGTCGCAATACTTACTACTAGGGCAGTGATCTGCTGCTCCGCGGCTTTATAAAACGGGTTCGGCTTTACGTATAGCCGTTGATCCTATACTTATTTAAAACGGGTTATGAGAAATCATTTCTTATAATTTTCTTCTGATATATCGCATTCACCTATATATATGAATCACTTGTAGATATCAACACCAAGGCCTTGTTCTTTTCCTAGTCGTCGACTGGTTTCAGCGACTGAGTTTTATAGTTTCTTTTTATTAGAATCGCTAATCCTGTTTTGTTATTCCCACCAACTTATTTGATAGCATAAAACAGAGATCCAAGAAAAATAAAAAATATCAGGAGTAGAGACATGTGTATCAAAGTAATAGTCAAAAGCGCGTAAAGACATCAAAATGTGCATATTGTTTAGAGAATGCAACCAAAAAGATATAGGCAAGTCACAAGTTGGGGGGAGATCTTTAATGGTCACAAAGAAAATGTAAAGAGGTGGTCACAAGAAGAAAAGAATACAACATTAAAGCTTTAACTTATTAAGCTATTTGAGGATTTGTTGTCTACATCTTTTACTGTTTTAACTTTTATCTATTTATGGTTCTCTACTACATCCTGCTGATTATTACCCTTTTGGCCATTTTCTTTACTTGTTTTGGTTTTCACTTTTCCCTGCTCCTTTTGCTTGTGGCTTTCTATCACATATATTTAGCAGAAGAAATGTGGGTAATTCTGGCCATTGGAAAGAGACTGTTAACAACATTTCTAAAGATGTTTTACTTTCTCTAGATATGCAATAAACAAGGAGGCAAAACTGTCAAGAGTTCCTAAGAATTGATTTGGCCTTTTTTCTCCAGATTGTATGTTAAATAATAGAAAAGAAGGGACTACAAAGATTTCCAATAAGAAGGTATAACGATGAACAAGATTTTTAAATGCCAAATCCAAACTCTGCTATCTCTGGCACATATTGCTCCTGCCCAAGTCTTTGGCTTATCAGATCTTGATCCTAACAAACTTAGCTTAGCTCTTGGTAGTTGAACAAACTCTGTCGATTCCCGCGAGACGTAACACTAGCTTTAACATGGGAAAGTTCTTGTAAACACTGCACATAACAAAACAGGCACTCATCTTCATCACAGACACAGTACCAAACAAAAATCATAAAAATCTAAAGTACATCCAAACTCATTAAATGCATTTCTTGACCGACATATATTTCAAAGGGAACTAAAACCAAACTTCAATTCATTCTTGTCAATGATCCATCTCAGCCAGAGTAATAAATATGTTAAAGTCAGAAGAGTAAACTGTCCTTTGCATCCTCTTAAAAACTGATGATGCATCAATGAAGAATGGATGTTATGTACCTTACAGCAAGTTATACAACCAGATTTGGAGTACAAGCAAGCAACAGCTTTCCTTTTCACTTGTAAGGAGCGAAAATAATGCTCGAGTTATGCCCACCAAACCCGAAAGAATTTGACAAGGCTGCTTTAATGTTCAATCTCTCCTTCTTAGGACCCACCATCAGCTTTGTATCCTGCTCCAGTTTCATTTCACACGAAGATATTAAATTTCCTAAAGAGTTTTTTTTTTACGAACAATAAATGGTTGTCTTTGTGTAGGTATTGAACTCATACGATCAGCTTGGAATAACAAAAACCAAATAAATTACTAACATACCACTCCATTGTCTGGATTCTCGAGGTTGATATTTGGATGAACCCATCCGGTTCTTATTGCCTGTAGATAACAACAGAAAACTAACATTAAAAATGCGAAGATTGCACATAATTTTGTTCTGTTATAAGCGTTTCCTTCCTAGTAGAAGTACTGATGTCTCAAAATATCAAATGTGCTACCTGCACTGTTGCAACAGCCTCCACTGCCCCAGCAGCTCCCAGCAAATGTCCAATCATAGACTTTGTGGAATTTACCTTAAGCTGCCACGTCGTGAAAGATCAAGTCAGGAAATGCACACAATAAGCCGCCTTTGAATCTTGTAACAGAGAAGTGAAGCTACCTCAGGATTTTGGCCAAAACAATGAACAAGGGCTTGGTACTCCCTGAGGTCTCCAGCGTGTGTTGAGGTTGCATGTGCATTTATGTAATTTATCTGTTCCCTGGAAACCCCAGCACTAGCTAACGCTCTCTCGATACAGAGGATGACACCAGCACCTGTGGATATAAGAAAAAAAAAAAAAAGGGATATAGAAAAAAGTTAATGGAAAAGGATATTTCAATTTGGAGTTGACTAGCAGAGACTCATATGAAACTACCATCAGGGTGAGGCTCAGTCATGTGATACGCATCACATGTGAAACTCCCACCAAGGAACTCTGCATAGATAGTTGCTCCTCTTTTCTGAAAGAAAAACAGAATACTTATGCTGTCACAATTCCATAGCAAGAATAAAGAAAACAGTTTGGAGATAAGTTTCATTTGTGATGAAACGATGGGTAATAAGGAATGACAAAAAGAAAGAATGAATTATATACCTTAGCATGCTCAAGTTCTTCCAAAAGTAAAACTCCAGCTCCCTCTCCCATCACGAAGCCATCTCGATTCTGATATGCAATCAAGGCCAGGTTAACAAAACAAGAAGAAATTCCAAACATTATACACACAATTCCTATTTTACTCCCAATATCTTCCTACAACATTACAGACATGTAAGGGAAATTCCTGTTGGCGAAAACTTGATACTGTGTTTCTAGCATCCACCATCGGTAGGTAATCAAGATAAGAAAGAAGACCACAGAAGGATACTACAACATGAAAGTACAGAAAGGAAAAGAAGACAATACAAGAAATTGTAGAAAATTACACTATCCCAAGGACGTGAAGCTTTTGTGGGATCATTATTCCTTTGTGAAAGAGCCCGGCATGCAACAAAACCTCCCAACCCTGCATTGGTAGAGATATGATGAGTTTCACGTAGCTTAAAAATATCAAGAATAGAGGGAATATTGTAATATAAGAGAACGAGTTAGCACCTATTGGAATAATAACTGCATCTGAGCCACCACAGAGCATTACATCCTGAGAAGTTTAGAGGAAAGACAGACAATCTATAAGTAGAACCAGAAAAAGTCTATGGAATTGTTGAATTACCAAATGGATGGAAAATACTTACAGCTTCCCCCTTAATAATGTGATTTGCTGAATTCAGAATGCAAAAGTTGCTTGTAGCACAAGCAGTTGAAATAGAATAGTTTGGCCCCATCCATCCCTGACACCACAAAGAAAAGTCAGTCTGAAATTGCTGGTGGTCGTCCATATTAACATAAAAATTAAAATTTTATCTGACCAGATCCATAGCAAGCATAGCAGAACCCATGTTTGTTGTCGCAAAAGGTACACAAAAAGGATTCATCTTCTTGTAAGAGATTCTCAGAGCTTCAATAGCATCGTAAAAGACCTGTATTAATATTAAATTATTAGAAATGAGACAATTAACAACAGACTTCCTAATCTTAATATTCATATTCATGAGACTCTTTTTTCAGTGAAAGCATTGGTTATTGGTTAATATGAAGGAACAATCAGGTGAGATACTGAAAATAAACCTTGGGATGAATTTTTTTTCACGCTTTCTATAAGTTTAATCCCGGGATCAAAAATTACTGTACCTTCATTCCTCCCATTGCTGAGCCAATCAGCACTCCGCATTTCGTTTTGTCAAACTCTGCCATAACTTCTTCAGTTACTCCACCATCAGCCAAAGCTTTCTTCCCAGCAGTGAGAAGATAGAGCATGAACTTGTCCATCCTTTTAGAAAGTTTTGGAGCTACCCATCCTTCAGTCGAGAAGCTTTTGATCTCCCCCGCAATTCGCTTGACAAAGGTAAAACAAGGAACGATATTCAAGAAAAAACAAAAGCAAACAGAGAAATGCCGCAGACCATAAAAGAAATCCTGATATAATGCTTACCGTAGGAAATTCAGAACAATCAAAATTCTCAATCTGGCTAATACCACTGTTGCCTTGTAGCAAATTATCATAAAAGGTATGCGGGTCATGACCTAATGATGTTTCAACTCCCATGCCTGTGACTACAACCCGACGCTGCTCCGTAGGCGGTTTCTTGTTAACCGCAGCTTCCTTTTCCATCTCCATCACAGCCATGGCTCGACCTAAAACCCACAAAGATATTACAGTTGATGGTAGATTAACTTAATCAGCTACTATCCAGAAACCACATTCCATGATGGTAAACAAAATAGTTACAGGCACTTCAAAATTTACAAAAAGTTCACCGCCACTAGTTCATATTTCGAAGCTCTGTATCCCACATTCCTCATCCAGAGCCTAACCTCACAAAAATGTGATTTCTTTTGAAACATAATATCATGGAATCACAATAAAAATCCAAACTTTCACATGTCAGCTGCTTTACTGTTCAACTCTAACTCTAAATTGCATCATTAGCACAATAACATAAACTCATAGCAAGATAGAACTACAAAGGAAGATAAAAACGAGAAACTCGAAGAAATACTGAAGCTTGGCAGACAAAAACCCAGATTGGAAGCAAAAAGGAGAGAAATGTAATACCGGAAGTAGCAGCTCGATTCAGTCTCCTCTGGTTACGATTGGACGAAACAGTATTCGATCCAAAGAGAGAAGACAAGGCATTGTAGTTGCTGTTGTAGTGAGTACAGGGACCAAAATCCAAACAAGAAGTGACAAGAGCTTGAATGGTAGGAGCGGATCCAGAAGCGGGGGAGCACTTGCTAAGCTGCCTCCTTCGCCGACTCCGCCCACCAGATTGAAGCGCAACAGCCTGGCGGCTATCTCCAGGGCCGTGAGCGACGGACATGCAAGCAGCAACGAACCAGGTGCATAACGGAGATGCGTAGCAAGAAGACGCACCCACCATGGCAAAAAGTGAGAAAAAAAGAGAGAGCCCAGATGAGAGAACAAAGGAGCGAAAGCGAGAAATGGGTGTGGAGAGAATCTAGCGGAAGGGAAATGGGATTCACGAGAGATTTAAGAAGAATCGATCTACGATCTCTCTTCTCTCTCTCTCTCTCTTTCAGGAGGCGTGCAGAGAGCTTCGATGCGTAAATTCGTGCGTGGAGACGCCAAAAATCGTCCTGTGAGAAAAACAAACAGAGACGGAGAGAGAGAGATATATGAATACACACTCACATACAAACATTATACTACTAAGGCAAAATACCAATCGACACTTCAAATCTCAAAATTATCGATGACCAGAATAATTTTTATTTGTTTTTTCTTAAATCTTAAAAGAAATTATAATGTCGACAAAAACAAAATTATAACTTTTTCAGACTTAAAAATAAAATATAAACCTTTTATCTTCTTTTTTTGTTTAAAGTTGATGACATCTTGTATAAAAATATATATATATATATATATAATTATATATATATATATATATATATTTATTTTATTAGCTTCACTATGAATTTTGTTTTGAAAAGTGAAAATTAGAAAAAGAGAGAGTAGAATGTAGGATTTTTGTGTATAGAAAAAATATTAAAACAAAATGGATTAGAGTGATTTTAATTGAGAATTCACAGAATAATGGAAATAGCTATTGGTTCAGACAAATATTAATTTATCCAATCACAAAATTACAGAGAATCATTATTTATGTTCAATAAATGATACAATAAAAAAAACATGAACTCCAATATTCTACTATTTTTATTTTAAAACATTGCAGATTCGGTGACCTCGGTTTAATCGAAGGAAGGACACTTGGGGATATCATTATCTTATTTTGGACTGTGGCAGCGAAGTGTTACAGTAGAGGGAGATAGCGATATGGCAAAGCTGCCCACTCTTTTTTTAAACAGACATTTACTACTTACTACTCTCTCTTCTTGACTTATTTTTTTAGACAAGAAGAGTCATTTTGTGTGTTCAGAGATATATCAATATACGTATGACGTACGTATAATAGAGACATACCTGATGGCTGATACCTTTTACTTTTCTTCTATACACAAAGAAAATGTGATCAGTGTAGATCCAGAAAAGAAAGAGGGAAAAAAACATTCATAAAAGTCATGGATATATACATTTTGATACGTTAAAGCTGACTCCTACTAAAAAAAAAACGTAATGATAATAGACCCCTCGAGAATTCATTAAATTCATACAATTAATGTCTCTTTTGACTTGTAATCAAAAGTTTGATAGGAGGATACACGTGATTTGTTTTTGCTTTCCCTGATCGAAACATACACACACACACACACTTGCACATCAAGTAGCTATGGCTCTTTAAGCATGTATATTGCAACAAACCAAGTCGTGTGTGTGTGTATTAGCCCTATCATCGGTTTACGTTGGATTGTTTTTGTTTTCAGAGTGATGGAATAAAATAAACAAAACAGAGGGAGCAGGAAAGAGGGGAGCAAGAGAAAATGCATGGAAAGAGTCAAAGTGGGTAAGCTCTCTCACACCTAACATTCCATTTTTGCATCACCATTCTCAGCTAAACCAGCCTAATCTACGGTTTCCAGTTTTCTATATACATTTGCTTTCTCTCTCACACGTGTCCTTCCCTGATTCGTCTTGCTTGTATGAGGATGGAACAAACCAACCATGAGGATTAAAGAGGGATCAGAAAGCAGCATTCCATGAGAAAAAAAAGCAAGGAGTTACAAAAAGATAAGACATACTGACACAATTGTGTTCCTTGGAAGACAATAGCTGATTTTTGCAAGGGGGATTTGGAACTAGAGCATTGTGCAACCTCTCATGTCAAAAAAAAGAAAGAAGATGATATTAGAGAGGTTGAACGACATTCTCTGGTCCTCTTCTGGTGCCGAAATCATGCAATCAAAGCATAATTCTCGGTTATCTGCAAATGAAAATCCCAGTCTTAGGGGAGCGCTAATTCGTCTCCATGAGAATGGGCAAGACATAATCATTCCTCGGTTATGTAATTTTAAGAATGTTGTAAAAAGTTGATCGAAATTGACAAGTGCTTTTTAATTCAAAAGCATACCAACTTCCCTTTCTACTCAAACATTGTATTGGTTCGTCTACACATAATAAACATGAACATGAAACAAAAACACACATCATTGACAACAAGAGTTATAAAATAAAAAAAAAGAATGGAGGCAAAGGAGAGTTCCCGAAGAGTTTGATCCAGTGATATAAAAACTCTTTAACGCTTGGAGAATTGTGGTGCTTTACGCGCCTTCTTGAGCCCAGCCTTCTTTCTTTCAACCACTCTCGCATCTCTAGTGAGCAAACCTTCCTTCTTCAAAGGCGATCTGTGGTCTGCACTTACCTTAAGGAGTGCACGTGCGACTCCCAGGGTGATAGCTTGTGCTTGACCAGAGAGACCGCCTCCATGGGCTTTCACAAATATGTCGTAGCTGTTCTCATACCCTAAAGTCACTAGTGGGACTTTAACATACTGAAGCCATAGTGGATTTCCCTGAAGGTACTCCTGAAAAGGGTTTACAATGATCATCATCAGCAATATGCGTGTATGGATTCAAATCCTTCACGTTCACAAAACAGCTTGCTAAAACTTCCTAAACGTCATCATAATCTCTCCTTATTATCACTTTTCAGCCATTGATCCTAGTCTTAACAACAAAGAATTCACCACTATACGAACAACTTGTTCAGAAAGTTCATCCAGTTTCAACTTAAACTTTTATGTGCTGATAAAACTTCCACATTACGAAGAACTGCATACAGACACAGTTTGATCACGAGACTAATACAAATACAGTTTGATCACTTCCTCAGCCACTTATCCTAGTCTAAACAGCCTAGAATTCATCATATGAAACTATAAGTTCAGAAAAATCTTCCATCTCCAACTTAATCTGTAATGTGTTGATACAGCTCTCAGTCGTAACGAACTGCATAGACATAAAGTTTTATCGCAAGACTAATAGATGTTGTTAGCATAACAGAGAATATCTTCATAGAGCTCAGGAGATTCTCTGCTATAAAATGCTGCAACTTATACTAGTAAATGCTTCAATCCAATGCGAAAATTGAATCCCTCAAGAACATAAACCCGATATGAGCAGTCAATTTAGCTAAGCAAACCCCAAAATCAAGGCCTAAGCAAAACACATGAGCCACTAGCAACAGTTTAAAAGCCACTAAGATAATGTGATTAGAAATAATTTATAGAACACAGATGCATAAAAACTTTACCTTGGCATCACGATAGTTGATGATAACCTTCCCGGTGCCTTCCTGAAGCACAACTCGAGCGATTGCGCACTTACGCCGTCCAGTGCCAATAATCTTCTGAGCAGCAAATCCTCCAGGGAGCCTCGACTTTACATACTTCTTCAGCTCAACTATCTCCTCCTCCTCCGGTGAAGCAGCTACCGTGGCGGTGATAGAGAGAGAAGCGCGGCGAGCGGATTTCGCCGGCAATGCGAAAACCGAATTCGCGCGGGGGAAGGAAATGGTGTTAGGTCTCTGAGAAACCTGGGAAGAGAAGGAGAGTGAAGAGAGAGAAGAAGCGAGGGTCGAAATCGACGCCATTGTCGCTGAATGAAGAAGATAACGTCGAGAAAAGTGAAGCTGAGTTCACGAATTTCGTCGAACAGAGAGGCAAAAGGAAGAAGAAGATAACGGGTAAAGGTGAAGATGAGATTAGGCAAGGTCTCTATCGCTTCCGTGAGCGCTCCAAGTGATTGAATCGGCCCATTAGAGCCCATTAATCCTTTATTGGGCTTAACAAATATACAGTATGTGGGCTCCGTGGCATGTGTGGTATTTTGTTTTAACTGAATTTTTTCAACTCTCGGAAGATCAATTTGTGGTTGTACAAACCATCAAGGCATCAACAAATTATTACTCAACTTAGAACAATCATTGTTTTCTGGCTAACCACCAATCATGTCATGTGTTGAGATGGCTTCATCTGGGAGACAAAACTATAAAAGTCTATTTGTTGCCAAAATAGAGGTGAAATTAGAAACCTAGCAGTGTACTCTACATATGTGACGTTTTACCCCCAAATAGTTTTGTTTTCATTCTTAGACAATTTATCTCTTTAATTATATTTTGTTTTTGCCATCTACTCTAGTTACTCAACCAAAATGTGAAGCTTCAAATTTAACTTTTAAGAAGGATAATATCCGGGGATGACGTTTCTAGTACTCTACTATAATGTAATCATCAATCTGCGGATGTAACATGAGAACAATCTTATGACTCCTCTCGTAAAGCACAAGATCGAAGAATCAAATATTACAATATATATATATTACAAGCTGATACAAAAACTTAGACCAAAAGAAGGCAAATGCTATAATAAATTGTAGCTCGAAACATTGACAAAGTAACAAAAATTGTAGACAACGTATAATATATAGTAGTATCAAAAACATTGTCAGAACACTGCGCGTCTACTCGGATTCATCAAAGGTATACTTGCATTACAACAAGAAGTTGGAAAACCGTGTACCAGTTGGCATGGCAGCAAATCCTGAATGCCCTCCAAAGAAACTAGAGCCATGATGCCTTGTCCCAAGCGGAGGACGAGCTGATTCAATCCTAGCCGCAGTTGGTCGATTGGGGACAGAAACACCACAACTTGGCTTCGATCTGGGATCAGAAGATGGCTTGCCCATTCCATACAAAGGAACCAAACTGTCTTCCTTAACCAGAGCTTTACAAACAGGACAATGATTCGATTTGGAATGATAATGGAGCCATTTGTAGAGACAAGGCCAGCAGAACAAATGACCACATAGAGTCACGATCGGTTCTCTTGCCAAGTCAAGACAGATATTGCATCCAAAGTTGCTCGATGCATCTTCTTCGTTCGTGGTTTTGATGTTACAAGACATGGTAAATTTCAGATATTTGTCGTCCTACATATAAATGACAAAATGAGATGAAACCCTAAACCCCTCGAGCCGTTTCGTATAGAATAAAGATCAAACACATGCAGAGATATATATACCAAAACTTCTCATAAATTTGATACTACGTTTCGATCTTTATGTTAATGGAAACTCAATTTACAGAGTCCGAAGAATGACTTACCTCGGCAACGAAAGAGAAGAGAGGCGTGCCCCTTGTGTAAAATCGCAGAGAATGAAAGGAGCGAGAGAGAAGAGAGCGAGAGTCGGTGAATGAAAAAAAATAAAATAGGAATGATGCTGTTGTGTTGTTATTATAAAAACTAATTAACAAAATTAAGAAAAGAAAAAAAAAGTTGTTAATATTCTTCTTAAATATCTGAGGAAGCTTCCTCGGTTTTATATCAGACGATTACTTGATTTTCCCCATATTTTAACTTAATTTGATATTTAGATTCTTTCCTTTGATTAAAATCTAATTAAATGGCAGTTTTGACTTTTGACTAATATTATTATTTTCTGATTCTAATGTACTTTTTTCTAAAACTAAAATGTTGAACATTTACTTGAATATTGACCATATATCTCATATTCTCATTCATCTTGAATTAAATTGATCTATTACAGAACTTAAACAGTCGATCGAAAACATAATACGTATAGCTAGTTGTGAATGTCAATATGTAATTTAATTTTAATGTTATACTTGAGGCAATGTCAAGACGACGTATAATTAGTTTAAAACGTACGAAGAAAATATTGTTTACATACTTATCACCAATTAATAAAGTCCAAACAATCCATAAAATGTCTAGGATAAGTGTAGCATATAACCATTGTTTATTTTGACGGTTCTTGGATTCTAGATGTTGACGATCATTGGTCACCTTGTACCCAAAGAAATAATTATACCTTATGAATATAATAAAAATAGTGTAGATAAGGTTATGGAGATCAGTCCTATTTTCTGTTTTACAGCTAGAAAAAATTATTAATTCTGTTTTAAATTTTTGTGATTAGCTTAGTATAATTTGACAGTAATGCATGTGTAATCCTACTACAGAAAAGAAAAATCCACTCACTGAATGTTGTGTTTAATTAGCTCAAACCTTTTTTTAACACACGAATTAAAAAATGCTTCTTTATTATCATGGTATAAGACTTCAGGTAACAAATATTCTAAAAGAACCTTAAAAATCGTTTATATCGTTCTAGACGTAGCTGGTATAGTAGTATTATCGAGAACTTAGTGCAACGAATGAAATTGACCGGAACTAACTATAGGAATGTTCGAATAATGGAACATGATCCAATAACAATTATCATACGTTGTGGATTAACTTCTTTTATAGTAAAATAACATATCATTTGTGCTGATGTCCAAATATATATATTCATGGCTTCTGGAAGAAATATACCAATTAAGTCTTGTTGTTTGTAAAGTCTTGATGGGTTGCAATATATTTCCTGTACGCATTGCGGCTATACTTGCGTTTTGTACAAAAGCAACTCATTTATGCTCGATACCAAACAAACATATAAAATAATATTCAATCGTATCATATTCTACTTGCACCACAAACAAAAAAAATGACGTATATTGTTAGAACTGATGACTGATGGTTTTAACATTTTTATATCAGACAAGTTTTACGATTAGAAACTAATTTTATTTTTATCATGTGTCATATTTGGTATCATTCCGTCGGAGAAAGATACTAAGACCATGATTAATGGTAGTTTCTTAGCTTTTTCTTAGGGATTTATATAATTAAAATTAAATGATTAATGGTGATAAATGTTAAGAAACGTCTTTTAAGCAAGAGTTAATCTTAGAGGTAAGAGGCGACAAATGTTTAATTTTGATTGGGTTAAGAAGAAAAGAAAAAAAAATATCACACGTTCTCTCTCTTTCTCTCTTTCTCTCTTTCTCTTCTCTTTCTCTCTTTCTCTGTTGCGAAGGAGCTCATATCTGTGACGAAGAGATGCGCAAATCAGTGACAGATCTCCGATTGTAGCTCTCATATCCGTACACAACTAGTCTGAATCCCTCTATGCTTGTTCAATTTGATGTTGATTGACTGTTGGGAAATTAGGGTT